AAGTTGAAACAAAAGAGATGATTTCACAAAACCTAAAAATATATTATTTTTTTATAATTTAGGGATTCATCCATACGACATTGGTTTTTTGTCCTTTGAAATTTGATGCCAGGTGGAAGTTGATGGGATTTTGGACAGCTGCCACGTTGACCCAAAAAAAAGAAATCTCAACTATAAATGGGCCCACTATACCGCGAGGGGCACAACAAATGCTACAGCTGGACTATCGAACCCGACCCGGATCCGCAGCGGAAACCTCATTAGTCTCAAGACCGATGAAATCATCAAAAGTTCATAAGAATCATAACCCATCTTTATACCACTCCGCTGTTAAAACTTATCCTGATCCTGCTCCCGCTCCAACCAACGCACTGACGTCATCCTCACTTAAAAAAAAAATCAACGGTTACGGACCTTTAAAGTCCACTGTAAATTCAAACCCACCACTCGAAGGCCGACACGTAGGACCCTGCCACTTTTCTTAAATTACTCCGCGAGTCAACATAACGCAGTCCATGTGTATCAGAATCCGACAGCGAAAAATTATCCGTCACTGCTCTCTCTTTTTCTCTCGCTTTCGACTTTCACTGGCTTCCTTTGAAAGAAACCGCAGCGAAAGTTTCGAGCTGATGAACACTGAAGAGGAGCAAAAGCTTCGAACTTGATCAGCTTGTTCTCGAAGCAGATGGGGATTCGGTCGATCTTGTGCTGCGGAGCTGATTCTGATAGGTATTTGATGGTTAATTCGAAGGATTCTTGGGTTTTCTTCTTGTTTTTGGATCGATTTGGTTGGTTGAGAGTAAAAAAGATTCGATTTTGATGCAGGAGCCAGAAGGCGAAGAAGAATTCGACGGGATGGAGGGTGTTTTCGCTTAAAGAGCTGCATTCGGCGACGAACAATTTCAATTATGATAACAAGTTGGGAGAGGGAGGGTTTGGGAGCGTTTATTGGGGCCAGCTCTGGGATGGATCTCAGGTTTTGGATCTCTCTCTCTTTCCCCCTTTTTATTAATTTTAGGTGTTTTTTCTTATTTTTCTTTGAAAAGAATTCGATCATATGAATACGTGAAATTCGAGGAAATATATATATATATATATATAACATAATATATATATAATCATATATTAATATACTATATATATATATATATATATTAGAGAAGAGAAGAGAGAGAGGAGAGAGAATGAAATGGGTATGTTTGCGTACCAACATAAAAATTGTGCTGAAGTGACGTGACATGTTCGCCTCCACTCATTGAAATCGGGCTCACATTCACAGGGTTGCGGGTAGTGTTAGGAATAATGTGGATGAGAATATGAGCAATCACTACATATTGCATAATTTAGTGTTGTGTACCCCAGGGCATACCATTTTTCTCTATATAGTATATATATATATATATATATATCATATTGAGGCTGAGTAGAACAGTAATAGTTAAAGTTTAGGTACAGAAGCAATTGGAACTAGTGCTCGATTGCATTTATCCGTGGATATATTCTTGATGGATAAAATCCTTGAGCTTCAAGTTGCGCTATCAAAACATAATAATATAAAACAAAATTTAAGGAGTTAGAAAATCAGGCTATGATTGGGAGCAGTTGTGATATCAACTGTCCTAGAATGATTAAGGACCGCCTACTCGCCCTGGCGTAGTTTTGTCCTCCTGCCCCTAGCGGTGAAACCCCCGGAATCGGCCGGGCGCTCTGCACTCGGCGGAGACACAGAGCTATGCTCAGCTGAAACGGTTACTGCCCAGTAAAATGTAGGCCGAAATTTGCTTGAGGTAAGAGAAGTAGAGGAGAAGAGAGTTTAGAAAGTGTTCGCTCTTGTTTAGTGTGATTCTGAATGAGCTCCAAGCCTCCTTTTATAGCGTGTGAAAGATGTAACCCACCGCTGAATCCAAGGGGACCGTTACGCACGGTTAATCTTCCTTACCCGCATGCAGCCGTTCAAAATGTGTAAAACGTCGCCACAAATAAAGGCTTAAAGGTCAAAAGTGTCCGGCGCGGTGGCTCGGGCGAGGCAGGCGCGCGTGGCTGCGGGCGGCGAGACGCGGTGGCGTGCCGTTGCGCGCGGCTGCGTGTGGAGTTAGAACCGCCAAACGCCACAAAACCCAAAACACTATTCCAAGCCCAATAAGAGAAACATATATACCCTTTACTATCATCTCATTTTTCCCCGGCGATGTGGGACTATTCACCAAGGCAAAATGCCTTTTCATGAAAAGTTTGCCAACGAGTCCTCCAAAAGACATATGTGACTGAAAATAATAAACAAAAATAAATCACAGAATAAAATAGGTTTGGCACCCTTTCGTATCTAATTCGGGAGAGGTAGCTTTCGCTTTGAAGCCTTTCCTTTAGCTGAGTTATCGCCCTGAGACATAATGCGGACTAGGCCTTGAATTCAGGCTCCCTTGGATCAGGTAATTGATAAAAACACACAGCAATACGTTGCATCATTGAGGCTAACGGTGAGCAGTTAAAGCCAATCTGCACAAACAACCGACTCATGCAGAGTTTCTGGGTCAGCCCTGCCTGCCCCCACCGCGCCATCACGCGTTCTCTCTCACCGTACCGGTAAGTCCTCAAAGGGTACCTAAAGCTGTTTATTTAATAAACCCCCACAACACACGCGTTGGAACTTATAAGGTAAAAACTCAGCCTAGGCCAGCTGTAATCATTAAGAGCATCGTCACCATAGAGAAGGGGTAGTAAGGAAATGCTACAAATGATATTATAATATATCTAAGCTGATGTCACACGCACAGAGATGCACTTGGTCCGCTTGTTTCTCTACCACATTGAAACCGCATATTGGAGCTACGTCTCCAAATAAGGGTTGAGTTGCCGCTGTCAGTGACCTCATTTATGGGCTATAACCCCCATCTCCCTCGATGAATCCAGAACCATACTCCTGAATAAGCCCTTAGTGCAAAAGAGTCAGCAAATTTTTCTCAGACTTTACAAAGTCCAAGATCACAACCTTGCGCCCTGGCCTAATAGGCGTTGTACAGCTTATGATGCATGAAACTGTGTCTGTCAGTTTTTTATTTACATGTACTTGCTTTAGAAGCTGCTATGCTAGATTCTAGCAATCAGAATGATGGAAATAGGGAGAGAGGGTTTTATGGACCAAAGGACAGTTCAGCATAGGAAGATCTTTTTACGCATTCGCGCTTCTGCTGCAAGTAGTAATCAGAGCAATCTAGCGGCTCAGATTCCATAGGTGCTCGGTCGGGCAAATTATTGTATTGCTTTACCATGATTTCAGATACAAGCCAGTACCACCAAAAGAAATACATATCCAGACTGTACTTTACACTGTTGAGATATCCGCTGCGACCCAATTGGCGTCGATATCCCTTCTATAGGGCATCAAGGGCTAAGCAGTGTAAGTTCAAGCAATAGTCAATTGTGCCTTTTAGATATTGAGATACTGCTTTCTAAGAGCAGCCAATGATCCTTTTGCCTAGAGTTGCTAGTATACGAGACTCAGGTCTCGCATACAGCATAAGCTATAATCAGGTCTGGTTGCGTTGCGATATGTAAACGAAAGATCCAATCATCTGAGAAATTTAGATTGGGAGACAGTTCACCTTCATTCTTCTTAACGTTTAGAAGAATCATAAGTGTGGAAACAGGTTTAGAGTTATGAAAGTTAATTTGATTAACATTTTATCAATGCTATGGAAGACTCAAGATATTCCTGCTAGCTGTCTCCTAAGAGATTTTTCATTCCAAGTATGATGTCTTGCAAGACCTAAGTCTTTCATATGCAAAATTTTGAAAGATAAATCCTTAACCTTTGAAATTAATTCAAGTTTTTCCAAAGCAAAGGATACTCATCACGATAGAGAGCAGAGAATGAACATAGCCATTGTTTTTATCACTTTTAGAATAGACCATTTATCTTTCATTCACAGGTGAAGCCATATGTTCATACGTTGTCAAATTCGGGTGCCATTGTTTTGGAGCTTGTTAAGAGACCATACAAAGCTATTTAAGCAAGCTACAGACCTTGTTTCCTGACGCCTTGGCAATGAGGCCTTATGGGTTGGTGCAATATAGCATTTTGATCTAAATCACCTTCAGGAGAAGCTCTGACATCCATCTGACTGTATGATAAGGCTTTATGATAACAGCAAGGCTAGTAATACGTCGGATAGTTGATATCGGGCATACAGGAGAATACTGTATCAAAATAATCAATGCCCTTTGTTGAGTAAAGCATGTAGCGCTACTAATCTCAGCTTTAAATTTATCTATGAACCATCAGCTCTGACGTTTCTTCTTGAATATCGCACTTATCACCAAATAGGTTTACAACCGTGGAGCGTAAGTCCTGAGTCTCCAAGATGATCTTTCATGATAGATTTAATTTGCATTATCATGGTTCTTTCCAGAAAGAGATTCAGCGGTGAATCCATTGCTTCTCGGAATGAGGCTTGGATCACCTTCAAGGCAAGAAAGTAAGACAAGTTTGCTACGCAAAAATCCTTTTCGATTCTACCCTTTTGCTTTCTTCGAGGTTCAATACAAGAGGGTTGAAAAGAATGGAAGATGGAAAGCATCAGAACGAAGTGGATGATCTGGGATTTTCTGAGATTTTAGATTTGAAAGGAAAAGATTTTTTTCAAGTATGACGCATTCTTGCCTTCAATATCGTATTGTTGGATATGTCCTGATTCAGATTTGCATGTACTAAAAATCTGTACCATTGGCTATCAGTGATCATCGCAATAAAAGCGCGATCTACAGTCTTAGCAAACCAATCTTTTCTCTCTTAGCGTTCGCGCGAATAGCTACTTTAGCCACAGCAACCCCAAACCCGGAGAGAAATTTAGGATTAGGAGATTCCCCTCCAATATTCATAGGATTGTATCGGAATATTTCGGGAATCCTATTGAGAAGATGGCAAGCCAGAAGAAGAGCTTCACCCGCCAGAGATTTTCAGCTGCTCCTGAACTGAGTAACATCAACAGTTTCACCATGTCCATTAGGGTTCTATTCTTTCGCTCAGGCTACCACGTTAGACCTGTGGTGTATAGGGAGCGGCATAACCTCATGAACTAATACCGTTGTTCTTCGGAATATTCAGTCATATGATTGAGGCTATCTCCCCGCGCACGCTCGAGATTTAGAATCTTGATCTTTCCTGTCAAGTTGGTTCTAGATTCAGCTTTGAACACCCTTAAGACCTATCTAAGGCCTTCATCTTAGTTTTGCAGCAGATAGGTGTAACAATATCATGGAGTGACGTCTATAAAGTCACAAAATATCTCCTAGCCGCCCGCGGTGAGAACTCGTTAGAGTCACCACATCAGCTATGAATTAATTCGAGGGGTTCAGAGTTTCTAGTTATAGACTGAAGGGTTTTTAGTGTGTTTGCCTTGAACACAGATTCACATTTAGATGAGGACATGACGAAGATTTAGGAATCGAGTTTAATTACCATTCTGCTGCAAGGTATGGACGAGAACTGGTCCAAGTCGTCCAGTGCCTAAACATCACCGAAAGACTCAACCAAATTTGATATCAGAGACTCAGAAATTTCATTAGAACTGGAATTGATAGCATTGCAGTTTGAAAAGGCATTACAGATCAAACCTTTTCCTAGGAAAATATTACTCTTTGTAATCACAAATTTATTCTGATTCTTTTACAATCCTGATAACGCAGCTCGAAGAAGAAGAGATTCACTAATCAAGATTTGCGGACGGAGCAGAAGGACATCGATAATAGCGCCTTGCAGATGAAAGAACTTCCGCCAGAAGTCATTGTGAGCTCTATACGTCATGTCCTATTATTGAATTAGTGAGTCATCTGCTAAGCCTTATTGCTCTCTCCACAGTGGATGCCTGATAATTTGAAAAACCAAGAGCCGGTCATTAGCAGACCGTGCATATTCTCCTCGCGGAATCAAATACCAATCAGCTGGAAGAAGTTAGAGGAATTTTACAAGATGAGCATGAAGCAGGCTTAACCTGAAGCGAGGTTGATTGCATTTCAATCATATTAACTTTAGTTGGATCCAGTCTTCTTTAGGGGGAGGTTTGGCGTTCCTTTCTTCCGAAAGAAACCAGTGTGAGCCATCGGGCTTGGGTTTGGCGGCGTTCTACACAACAAAGCAGAAACCTTCTGCACAGACTTGATGGCTTAGGAAGAATTGGATTTGGTCTTGAGGAAAGGATTTGTTGAAGATTTGTTGAAAGATTGTTGAGTTTTTCTTGATTGCTTCCCTTTGGGTTTGAAATTCTTAGATAGGCCTTATCCTCTACACAAGTTTACTTTTAGGCCTTTTGTTTCATCTTGATATTTCGGATTTTGCCTAGCCTGCGTCTTCATACGAATAGCCTGCAGGCTTCATTAAGTTAGATCTGCCTTGGCTTGGGTCGGAGCATCCCAGCCAATCTACACAGGAGGGAGGAAGTTTACTCAACAACACGGAGAACTTTATAATCGTACAGTAAAAGTGTTTCCTTTTTGATGGAGATGACGGAGGAATATCTAGCGGAATTCAGAATTTGTTCATTAATATGGGCTTGCTCAATCAACGCCATTGTGAATTACTGAATGATGGAGGAGGTGCTTGAAACGCCCCAGAATTCGCATCATCATAGCCCATGACTTCTGGCTTCAAGAGCATTCCATAGTTCTTTTGGGCACTTTTTAACTCATAATTATATGTCATGAAAGGTTGTCTGACAAGTGGCACTAAGAATCCTATGACAACAATGATAACGTTGATTTCTTCTGGGTTTCATAGAGCTAGAAAAGGAGGGCGAGGCACCAGAACCCGTAAAAGGAACAGTGGATAAGGAGCAGGTGAGCAGGCATCAGGAGTCAAAGGTTCGAGAACCATAAGAAGATGACTCAGAAGTGTCAATAGCAATTAAAAACTAAGGTAGTAAGCCAGTATTCATCCTGATAGCCCACCGTTTATAGTTAACACCGTGTGAAGCTTCTCAGGTTTTCTGGACACTTTTTGAAACTGTGGCAGAATTGTCATAAGTCCAATTTAAGTTAACTAGTCTAGGTAGATGAATCTGATATAAATAAAGATTTTGTCATATTACTAGACCAGAAACTTATAAACCTGCTCTTACCAAAAACTCGTAAAAATGAAAAGATTAAGTTTTACTCGGGTAGTTGGGCGCCAGGTAAGTATAGTACTAGAGTTTGATCAATGATGATTAAGTACCTCGTTTCTTGCAGAGCGGGTTTACCAACCGCCTTCAACCTTTCCTTAAGACACCAACTAATCCAAGAATAACTTGAACGCGTTCACTTAAAGATTTGTTTTTTATGACAGATACTGAATTGAGCAGGCAGAAGTAGGGCAAAGAAATAAATTTTTTTTAACTAATTTAGATGCAACAAATTAAAACAATTAACTAATACAACAAAATATATAAAATTCGGGTGAACAGTATCACGGATGAACAGTAAATTTTTTCATTATTATTATTATTTAAAACAATTAGGTAAATTTTTATTAACTATATACAACCTAATTAATTTAACAAGCAAGAATTATTAAATGCTTTACTAGATTGCTATCAAAACCACATAATAATATAAACAAATTAAGGGTTAGATTCAGCGCTGATTGGGAGCAGTCGGTGATATCACTGGCCCATAATGACAAGATTAAGAGACCCGCCTATCGCCCTGCGTAGTTTTTCCTCTCTGCCCGCTAGGGGATAAGAACGCCCCCGAATCGGCCGGCCCTCTGCACTCGGGTTGAGACACAGAGCTCATTGCCTCAGCTCAGAAGGAAACGGTGCAGTAAAATGTAGCGCAAAATTTCTTGCGATTAAGAGCAGCTTAGAGAATGAGAGAGAGTTTGAGCAAAGTAGATCCTCTTCGTTGGTGGATTCGGAATGAAGCTCCAAGCCCCTTTTATACGGTATGAAAGTGTAACCCCGCTGAATCCAAGGCGACCCGTTACCACGGTTTAATGCTTTCCGTTACCCGCATGCCCCAGCCGTTACAAAATGTGTTAAAACAGTGCAAAAATAAGCGCTTGAGAAGCAAAGTGTGCAGGCTGCGGCGTCGCGGCGCGAGGCGCTGGCGTGCGGGCCGTGGCGAGGCGCGGCGAGCTGGCCGCCACGCGCCGCAGCCGCCGATGTGGTAGAACCGCCCAAACGCCCACAAAACCAAGAACAAACTAGTTCAAAGCCCCATAAGGAGAGAAGCCATTATATACCCTTTACTATTCATCTCGATTTCGATGGGACTATTCACAAAGGCAAAATTGCCTTTTCATGAATAAGTTTCCAACATAAGTTACTGTATGATTCTTGTGTGAGATACGATATATCGTTCAGTAGAAAATGGGATCGAAAGTCTTGTCTGCTTGCTCCGTGAGCTACGAGCCTGGAATTCACATGGTTTTTGAAATGGTGAAATCCCATCCTATGCACAGTATGTGGGATTGTACTTGCTACCTGATCATTTTCTCGGAAAGTATAGCCTGATTGGTTATAAGAAACACTACAAACATTTAATTATGATTGAACCAAAATTATAATTGGACTATGATTAAGATTGATTGAGAGTTGTTGATGGTCTCCCCTAATCTTTTGTGTTTGGCTACATAGTCATGTCAAGTTCCAGTTTTGTCATACAATAGTAACAGTGATTGTTGACGGTTAGGGTGCTGGCTATTGAAAACAGTGATTGTTTGTTCCATTGATTTAAGCTTGATGGATAATATCAGCAGGTTATGTACGCTTCCTGTGTGAAATAAGATTAACTCTTTAGCAGAAAAGATGGGATTGAAAGTCTTGTCTGCTTGCTTCATGAACTATAGGCCTGGAAGTTTCTTGGTTTTTCAAACAACCATCCTATGCAGAGCGTGCGGAATTTTATCTGCTAAGTACCATTTTATCCAAAAGTGTAAGCTGATGGATCATAGGCAACACTATAAAGGTTCACACTCTTCACACGGACCATGAGGAAAGGCACTCAAAAGTGAGACATAAATGGATTCCACATGGGAGGAGTCTACGGATGGTGCATAGTGCAAAATGTGCTACTTCTAAATGGTTAAGTATAAGATTTGAACCAAGGATCTTTAAACAGCATGTACTCTAATACCATATCAGATAACCACTTTACGCCGAAGTTCGTAAGTTGATAATTGTCGGGTGGCGATACAGTCATTTTGTTGTAAGTATCTGAGAATGAGATGATTTCTTGTATATCTGGAAGCTTGCAAAATCTTTGTTCATGTGGTATCAGATAAATGTTATGCTGCAAACCGAGATTGAGCTTGCTGTATCGATGATAATTAATGCTCACTGAAAATTTTAAAGGGCATCTAATGTAGGTGTTTCTTAATAATAATATAAAAGATGTTTCTTACTGATAATATAGAAGACGTAAAGGGGGGCCCTGACTACATTCAGACAAATGTAGGAAGGCAAACTACACAAAAAGCGCAACTATAACTCGATGAAGGATCGGGGAAAAAAAGGAAGGACATCTCATTTTACTCTCGAATGCCAGTTTCCAGATTGCAATCTGACTTTGACTATTTAACTCATATGTTTCTGGGGCATTATTTGGTGGCGTAATTGCTTATTTTGTGATTTGAGTGATCTACCACAGGTAATGAGTTCTGTTTTTGCTGCAGGATTTAAAAAACCAAAGTCTCAAAATAAAATTATTTTTTTTTCTTAGTAGCCTATTTGATTCTCATGTTAATGTTGTTCTAACACAATGAAGTTTGCTATTTAGTCACATATTTTAACTCATCTCCTTCCCTACTAACTTCTATACATAAATTCCTGTAGATTGCTGTTAAAAGACTCAAAGTTTGGAGCAACAAAGCTGAGATGGAGTTTGCTGTCGAGGTTGAGATTTTAGGCAGAGTGAGGCATAAAAACCTTCTGAGCTTACGTGGATTCTGTGCTGAAGGGCAAGAGCGTCTGATAGTGTATGACTACATGCCTAATTTAAGTTTGCTGTCACATCTTCATGGGCAGCATTCAGCTGAGTGCCTCTTGGACTGGCCCAAGCGCATGAATATTGCAATAGGATCTGCTGAGGGCGTTGCGTAAGTCCAGAAACTCTTAACTCTTGCCTCCCTCTCTTTGTTTCTTTTGTTCTTATGGAATCTATGAATATCAAAAACTGCATAATTTGGAGTGACTTATCTGAAAATGTAACTCTAAACATCTTAGGTACGGCTTAAAAATTTTCAACTTTGTAATTTTGGACCGAAAACTTTCTTCCATGAAACTAAAACATGCCATTGATATATTGCTCTTGGACTTCAAAGAAGAGCCATGCTGATGAGAAGAAGCTAAACAGCAATCCTTGTCCACTGAATAATTGACGCAGACTTGTATACTTTTTCGAGCGTCTTCAACCACTTAGTGGATCAATTCTGCAATCGACAGAGTCCATTGGATGGTTTTTCATTCATGACATATACAACCTACTTAATGTTTGGATTAATTCCCGATGCACCTCTTGTATTATAGAGAGTTGGCCACTTATTACCGCTAAAAATTTTTATTAGCACTTGAACCTCCTGGTGCGCAAACAAAGTTATTTTTCTGTTATATGTATCTTTCGCATGGTTGGCATGTGAAGTTGGCGTGCCGCAGACCAATCTCCATATATTTTACTATGTTACATAGACCTATTCTTTTATTAGTGTTGAACATAAACCCAGTGTAGTTACATATAACAAAGAGATAACTCCACTTGGACATAAAAGGATCAAGTGCCAGAAAAAGGGTAAATTTCATAAAACCCCCAAAACTTGGGTGGTGGGAACTGTCCAAATTCTTTAGGGTTTTGTGGCTAATTTCATATAGTACTGAGAGTGTATCTTAAATTCAATGCTTGTTTCTTTATCGTCTTCACTTCAGAACGTAATAATTTTCCCCCCATTCCCCATCCTTTTCAGTTATCTCCACCACCACGCCACGCCTCACATAATCCACAGAGACGTGAAGGCAAGCAACGTCTTACTGGACTCAGATTTCCAAGCACGAGTAGCTGATTTCGGATTTGCCAAGCTCATCCCAGATGGTGCAACTCATGTGACCACAAGAGTCAAAGGCACTCTTGGCTACCTCGCACCTGAATATGCCATGTTCGGTAAAGCCTCAGAAAGCTGTGATGTGTACAGTTTCGGTATACTTCTTCTAGAACTCGCCAGTGGAAAGAAGCCCATAGAGAAAAGAAGCCCAACATTGAAGAGAACTATCACAGATTGGGCGCTTCCACTGGCTCAAGAGAGGAAGTTTGAAGAAATGGCTGATCCCAAGCTCGATGGGGTTTTTATTAGAGAGGAGTTGAAGAGGATGGTGATTGTTGCCCTTGTTTGTTCTCAGAATGAACCGGAGAAGAGACCCACAATGCTTGAGGTTGTGGAGCTGCTCAAAGGAGAGGCTAAGGAGAAGTTGTTGAGTTTGGAGAGTGGTGATATGTTCAAGGCTGAGAAAACTGAGAGCTACCAAGGGCTGTCAGGTTCAGAGGAAGCTGGCACTGAAACTGAGATTGTAGCTAGTGTTCAATAGAGTGCTAAGGTTTGGTATATGATTGTTGTTGATTGTTTCAAACGTAATCATCAGTGTCAGGAGATTTGTGAACAGATTTGGATTGTGGAGTGTAGATTGTTGGTTGTATTTGAAATCTTTTAATCGTTGGGGTTTGAGGTTTGATTTGAATGTTAAGAGATGCTTTGTTGTTTTGCTTTGTGTGTAGTAATTTCTCCATTTTGTATCAAAGAAAAACATTCATTTTTCTGCTTTCCTTTGTCATTATGATTAAAGGTCAGGGTTGTTATATGTATTGGGATGGGTCAAATATTGAGTAGGAACTTGATATACGTGAATCTCGCTGATACGTGAATACCTTTTATTTTTAGTTTTATAATGACTCAAGGGGGAATAAGTAGATCCTAAGGTCGTGTTCTTTTTTTCATTTTGCATACGGATGTCAATTGCAGACTTGCAGTCTATTTACTGGGGACTGACCAAAAAATTGTGTTAGCAATAAATCTGAGATTATCAATTAACGCATCTTGTTGTTTTTATACCATTATTTTGTTTAGGAATAGGAAAGATTTTATTGAAGCGGTTCATGAATAATTGAGATCAGAGAGGGTCTAAATCATCTCCACAATTAAAGAAGGCAGTACTTTTATATCGGTAAGAATTTTTTTGGGTGTATGTTATTATTGGGAGAGTACTTTTTTGACCCAAAATTCATGGGACCGTACATGGGACAAAATGATACATGTTAAGTTTTGAGATTCTAACCAAGGTCAATGACTATTATAAATGTACATCAACTGTACATAGTCGGTCCCATGATTTGGACTCTAAAATCAATTTATCTAATTGTAAAGATCAAGTCATACTTCATACTCCCTTTAAAAGTACGAATTCGGAAAAACCTTTTAGTAGATAAAAATACCCTTGAAATTCAAATACAAATCCATTAAGTAAGAGTAAGTTGATAAATTAAAATATAAACATAGTATGAAGATAAGAATATAGATAGTTATTTAAAATTACAAGAATATACATAGTATGAAGATATACATTTAAGTAAGTGTAAGTTGATAAATTGATGAATTCTTATTGGATATACATAATATGAAGATAAGAATATAGTTTAAATTGAAATATAAGCAGGATGAAATTATTAAATGCCAAATTTATAAATGTATACAAGATGAATGGTGTATATGTAAAAACCAAACAAATTAGTGAGACAAATAATGTTCGCCCCAGAGGTTGAACCCTGAAACAATACAGATCTACAAATGCACATAATGTGGACGGGGTATTTGTAAAATCCACCAAACAAATTAAATAGATAAAATCATTCTGAAAATTATAAAAAAGGAAAATTAAAACAAACGACTGCGATATGAGGACACAACGTGGCGATCTCTCATCAACTAAAATTCAAGTAGTTCACGGTACTGCATAATTAGTTTTAAAGTTTATTTATACTATTATTATTTAAATAGAACTATATTTATAATTGTTATCCTCTCGCATGTAACATCACATACCAATGTTTATAAGCTAAGAAACTACAACAATTTCCGTAGCACTTTCATCTCCTTCTACATGTATATGTATTTGTTATTTCCTTCTTATTAGGTTAGATTAGATTATTTTAAAGTAATTAATTATATTATATATTAAGAAATATCAACAATTTTCATAGCACTTTCATCTATTTTCTTCTTATTAAATTAGATTAGATTATTTTAAAATAATTAATTATATTATATGTTTGATCTTTTTTTAGATCAGAAATTACAACAATTTTCATAGTATTTTCATCTCTTTTAACATGTATGTGTCTTTGTTATTTTCTTCTAATTAGATTAGATTAGATTATTTAAAAATTATGAATTATGAAATTACAATACTTTTCACATTATTTTTATCTATTTTCTTCTTATTATACTAGATTAGATTATTTTAAAGTAATTACTTATATTGTATGTTTGATCTTTTTTTTAGATCACAAAGTTTAATTATACTATTATTATTTAAATATATATTGTTTGTATAAAAATCAAAGAGAATCTCACACATATCTTAGATCTCAATGCCAATTGTAATATGTAATCTTAGATCTCAATGCCAACTGTAATATTTACATATGGTTGTTGGTTAAAATAAATTTCATGTGTGGGCTTAGATAATTTAATTTTTTAACACGCAAACTCTTCCACAAAACCAAAAGAGAGTATCAATGTTATAACTATATATATATATATATCCACAGGACCACAGATATCTTGAAAATGAACGAAGAAAATCACACAAATAAAAACCATATTAATTACCCACACACACCCACTATTTTCAAAATCATCATTCTCCATCTCCATATATTATATATCCACATACCAAATTAAACTGCCGGAGTTTTCCCTCATCAACTACACCATTGATTAACTCTCCTTTTTCCTTTGTACTTAAATTGTATAACATTCATTGTGATGAGGACTCACATGGGTCATATGCCTGCCTTGAACATCCAACAAAAAAAATAATGCACTAAGCATTGTAATTAATTAATAATGAGATCCTATCATTATAAACAAACTAAGTAAATATTAATAATTCTTAAGAATGTACTACGTTCACATATTTTCCACTGCAAACTTGTTAGTTGTTTATTCCTAACCCCAAGAAATTTTCAATATTAATCATCTATTTCATATTTTTTTTTAAAAATGTTTAAATAAAACTTATGGCAAATATAATAATCCATATTTATAGATTTTAACTCAAAATAAATCTGACTTATTTTATAGTAAGAAAATAAAAAAATAATTTTGATATTTAACCACGTGCATTGCACGTGCACAAGAACTAGTCTTTTATAAAAGCACGGGTTCAGAAAAATCTTTTCTTGGTCAATATTACCCTTCACTTTTTCAAATATTTTATTTAAATTTTAATCTATCATAATCATAATTCTATCATATCTTAATCTCACGTGAATTACTTAAAGCTCAATAATTAAAAAAAATAAGATTAATAAGTTACATGAAATATTGTAACAACAACAAAAAACCCTAATTTTTTAAAAAATTACACAAAATACTCTCAAATATTCAAAATTACACAAAACACCATCACATGTCAAAACTTAAAATAACAAACATGAAATTTGGAAATTAACAGTATACTCTGAAGAATTTATAATTTATAAATAACACCCTCAATATTTTAAAAGTTATAGAAACACGCTCAAAAGTTTAAATCATAAAAAAAAACACTCTCAAAACTTATGAAGCACATAGATGAATTCTAGAGATTACTATCGGACTTGAACATAGATTCCCTTTTCTCCACCGTAGTCACATCAATTAAACCTCATGGATGATAAAGAAAGATAATATCATGTAAACACCAATAAATTTAAACGATAATAAAAAGGCAAAGAAATAATAAGTAGCTAACATACTGTAATACATGAATTATTGTTAAAAAACTAAAAAGTTTTAAAAATTGTACAAAACACCCCCAATAATTCAAAATTACACAAAAAAATATGACTTAACAAAACTTAAAACAACAAACATAAAATCTAAAAATTAGTAGCAGACCCAATTTAAAATTTACAATTAACACTCTTAAAGTTTTAAAAATTATAGAAACACACTTAAAAGTTAAAAATTACAAAAATAATAAAATTTGAAATTTTATTGATAGATTAGAATTTAATATCATTGTCTAAATAAAAGTAATTGCATATAATTTTACTCATAGGTTGGAGTATCAAAAATACAAAGGTAGTATTAATTGATAGAAAACTAAATCACTTAAAATTGATAAAAGACTATAATATAATAGCTTAGTATTAATTGATTTTATTTAATAAACATTATTCTATGATGTCAGTAATATTCATAGGGTAAAAAAAATCTTTGACATTAATAATATTCATAGGTTAAAAAAATACAATGACTTATGTATGGATAAACTATTAAAAAGTTCAGATATATCCTTCAAAAGGATCTAGTTGTTTTGATTTTAAATAAAAAAGTGAAGGATATTAACCCAAAATTCATAAACTTACATGAATCACTTGAATTGATATTAACAAGAAACATATTTATTAAAGAAGCGTCAACTAATTTCCCATTGGGAACATATTAAACAAAAATTTCTTATCAGAGAAGCATTTTTCATAAAAGATGCCAGAAATATTAGTAAGTCTTATAAAATTTCATATTTTTTTCTTTAAATACTAAAGGAATCATAAAATTATTATATAATTAGATACATATGATCTTGCTATAGTAACAACATGAAGCTATTGATCAACTATATTACGAGATAAAACAAACCTTACAAGAGAATAAAAATCACTATAATTGACAAATGGGTATCCACATAGTTCTTACTTACCAAGCCAGACAAAATGTGGAAAATCACTATAGTGGACAAAATATATACATATAATACTTACATATCATAACTTAAGATACACATGTAATATAGTTCGTTACAAAAATTCTTATTAAAGACCACTAAACATAAAGTTCACCTTATATCCATCTCAAATTTGATGGGGAAATCTGCAATATATATATATATAAACCCAAAGATTCAACTAACTAAACAAATAAGAGAATAGTAAGTAAACCAAGTAAACATCCATATAACACAATAAACAAAAAATGTTACATTTTTAAGTGAATGTGTAGGGCTCATTTAGAACAAGCTATCAAAATAAAAGCATCTCCAGCAAGACTCATTACAAAAATAACAAAAAAAAATAACTTAGCAATATTATGCAGGCATCACAACATTCGAAAGATGTATGATCTTAAAAAACCTACTCTATAATTCACACAATTAGACCTAATTAAAATTTACCAATATACAAATACACTATTGCACCTTTAAGACAAAGATAACTATCAATTATAATAGACTTGAGCAGTGACTTTACACTTGCAAAGATCGCAGTAAGAAGGTGGATATATATGTTAATAACGAGTGTCCAAATGATAAATGTTGTAGAATCTCTGATGACTTAGGATATTGCAAAGGTAACACTGTTTAACATAGTAGAAACTCTTATTGGGTACACAACACAAGAATTCATTACAAAGAAAAAAATAGATCAACCCTAACTTAAGTAAAGAATTAGAAACACAGAAAAATTGTCACATATATGAAATTAACATTTGTTCTCATTAACATTTTTCTCATTCAAATAACTTTAAAAATTAGATGAGAAGATAAAAGATGAATGAGCCCATGGAAAAATAATAGCGCGGGAAATCCATGTCCAACCCGATATCACAATCGACGTAGATGATGAAGACACCACTCTAGAATTACCCTAGAAAAAGATAAAAGTGAAGAAGATTTGATCTCGGCTCAATAGAAAATAAAACAGAAAGAATAAAAAGACAATATTTTCTTAATATTTTATAGAATAGCCTAATTTTTTAAGTAAATTAGGAATATTTAGAAGATATTTTCATGATTTTTTAAATATTTTTATATACTTGTTTTGTGGACACTTTTATCATATAAAATTATACTAGAGTTAACATTAATATTTCGTTTATGGTTTTTAATAAAGTCTATCAATGATTAGGAATAAATCCATACCTTTTGTGCCATTTTAGTCACTTCTAATCCTCTTGCTATTATAATGCTATTTTCAAGTATTTTTTTACTCTTGCAACACTATACTTCCCTAGGTAAAGCTTCATTTCATGTTGATCCGAATAAGATGAGTATTCAAATTGGCTTCACATTGGTTTCGTGTCAATTCAAATATTATCAACATGAAACTTAAAATTTGGTGTAGCCCATTCAAACAAACATTAAAAAAGATAAATAATAACAATATTAAATTTTAGAGACATGTGAGCAAAAACTATCAACAAATTTTAGTAAGGAAATAAACTAAAAATAAATATTTATGATATTTAACCACTTGCAATGCACATGCATAAAAACTAGTAGTATCTAAACAGAGTAGCTTAATATACAGGACGATATATTGTGGCTATTTGTGGTTCAGTTTGATAGGCACATGTTAATTTTAAATTTGCGAGAATTACGTTTGCACGTTATCATCATCATCTTACTATGCAGGTCAAAATGGTCGTTTTGTGCTAAAATGCTTAAGTTTTAATTTCCGAGAACTAAATACACAAGACTATTAGCCATGTGTATTTAAAAGTTGAGTTTTTGCAGCTAATTATTTTTTATAAAGAATATTTTTTAAAAATTTCTCCAATTATAATTGTATAAATAAAACAAGGTCTAGTGCTTAGAAAATGAAATTTGGATCACTATAGGTGAGTTTTGTATCCGTAAATTGTACGAATAACCGTAAATTATACGCGCATGCGTAAATTATACGCGGACGGTAAACTAGTACGCGTGAACTCCTCTTCATAAATCAGCGGCTAATTTTGTAATTTGCAAAAAACGCAAGTGGTTCTCTGTAAACAACCAAATCCCAATTCTCATTCCCGCTCGCGATGCTCATTGAAGAAGAAGAAGAAGAAATCGTAACGGAGCAGCTCGATCTCGCCGATGACTCCGATTACGCCGCCTCCCAACGACAGGTAACGTAAACCCTAAACCCCAAACCCCAAACCCCAAATAATTCGATCTGCAGATCTTTACGAATCTTTCCCGATTAATTCGTTCTTGCGAAAACTTCTAGGGTTTAGGCGACGGTGTTCGATTGGATTCGGTCGAAAGGAGCGGATTCGACAAGAGCTCGGAGTTCGAGATCGTCTATTCGAAGGTTAACGTCGCGATCCATCCAAGTCAGCTTGCATCGGAGAGGATTGATGATCGGTTGCGCCTCATCAAGCAAGAACCTGATGTCTTCTTGGTATGAATTCTTCAAGTGATTTCATTTCTAGGTGTTTTTTTTTGTGAAATTGGGGTTAGGATTGGATTGTTTTGGTGTTCTGTGGTAAGAATACTGTTGATCAGTTTATATAGCTCGAGATAATTTTGAACACTTTTGCTTGGAGTTCGTTTATTAAAGTTCAGTGCTGCTGGGTAAAATTTGTGGATTTTTTCTTGGTGTGAATTCTTGAACGTTTTTTTTAATTGGGGATAGAATAGGATTGATTCGGTGTTATGTGGTTAGAGCAACTTGATCAGTATCTCTAGGTCGAGATAATTATGATGCACATTATTCTTTGGATTTTGTTCCTTTTTTGTGGGAGATTGTTCAGTGAAGTTTAGGTCTATAAATAGCGCCTATTTGCATTCTTCCTGTTGATTTTTGTAACGTTTTTAACTCTATTGTCATTTGAGGGAAAACATTTACACTTTATCTTTTGTGAGGAACAGTTGATATTTACCTAATGAACATTCAATTACATTTTCATGTTCGTAGCCATGGATGCCATTTAAGCCTAGTTATGGTCGGGTTCGCTCATTTGGACACAACTCAAACTCGAGTACCCTAGCAAAAGGTTAGGCAATTTGATCCTTGTTGCCTTAGAAGTTTCTATTTAGATTTGATATATTATAATTGTATATGTGAGTGCTCATACTATTTCCTTATGGGAAATTGTTTTTCAGGTAGAGATCTGTACACTGTCAAGGATGTGCTGTTAAGTGATATACATTCTGTCCGTAGGCATACCCCTACACTTGGCTTGCAATACATAATCATTGCCCTATCATCAGGTACAATGACTTTGTTTATTAGTATCACTTCGTGAAGAAATGGCGAGAGAGTACAGGAAAACAGCAGAAGAATCAGCCAGGCAGACTGGCAGTCGACCGCGAACGTGCACAAAGGCCACTAGGACTCGGAGCTGAAGGCGGTCGACCGTGGCGGTCGACCGCGAGGACCCTGTAGGTGTTTTTGGTCTCGGGATGAGATGCGGTCGACCGCGAGACCTGCGCGGTCGACCGTCGCGGTTGACAGCAGACTGATTTTGGGCTGGGCTTTGGATTTTGACCCGGTTCGTTTCTGAGTTGATATATAACCTAAACCTGATTAATTAGGGTTAAGCAAGGACGATTTTGAGCAGTCTTTTGGAAAGGTTTGTTGCATCCAATTATGGGAGATTTGTGAGAGATCTAGAGCTTTGTTTTAGGGTTTGATCGGTGACATTTGTAACTCTATTTGTATTCTCTTGATTTCTAATAGTAAGAACTCCCCCCTCATTGTCCCGTGGACGTAGACAACTTGTCGAACCACGTAAATCGTTTGTTCTTGCTGTGATTGTGATTTGCTTATTGGTTGTGGTTTATCTCTTGGATTGTTCGTGTCGCTCCTCGAAGCTTCCGCCGCGCACAACACTTCGTTTGTTGGAAAAATTCTTTTGGATCTTTCTTTTCGTATCAATTCACTTATACTACCGGTTTTTACAAACACTCCACTCATCTATGAGATAACTAAACGCTTTGAGTGAGATTTCACTAATAAACAGGTTTTTTGCACAACCATGTGGACTTCTCCATTTATATTCATGAATATTTTGCTACAAACACTTTCTCATTTACTGGACCATTTGAACGTAGTATTATTTTGTACACGATATAAAGTTATAAAAGAAAGTGACAAATGACATTCAATTGCAAGGTCAACATTATTATGGTATTCGATTGGACATAAAGTTTATGAAAACTTTGCACTAGCTGTCTTGTGAAAACTCTATTTACATACAGTAAACATTAGATCAGTACTGGATTGCATGGGAAGTGTGATAAGTGATCATATTGCTTCATGAAAGAATTGAAGAGATTCATGAAAATGTGTTGCTGAGATTAGACACTGGAGAAGGTGATATGTCTCTTAGCTCCATAACTGTTGATTTGGAGGGAGAGCTCTGCAAATGTATTTGGTGAAGTGTAAGGACTATTTTCTGACACGAGATAGTATGGACATAGTAGTGAATTTTGTGATCACAGAGCATGTTATGGTGCTGGTTTACAAATTTAACACCCTATTTTTAGGATCTTAGGTCAGCATTATAATGTCGGGACTAGGTCGATGGCATGACATTAGTTTCACTGTAATGACCTATTTGTAAAGGTTGATTTCCTCACTTCTCTTTCAATGGCCATGGAGCCTTTTTCTTCTATTTGGCCATCTCGTTTTTATACAAAGACAGAAATGTTTGGTTTTCTTGCAAATATGAGTAGCAATCATGTGTCTAAAGAATGTGGAAGAATCATTACCTTTTGTACTGATAAAACTAGGCTAGCTTTGAACTGGCTGTTAGGCAAGTTGCCATGTTTAGCTGGAAGTGAAGGAAATCGTGCTATGTCTACATGCATAATACACAACGGAAGACATGTATGTACAAAAATACTAAGCATGTAGAGAGCATGAAATATTCATATGGATCGTCTAATTAAATCTAACATGATCCTTATTATAAAGTGAGCATACAAGAGTTAGAAAGTCATACTTTCGTAGCGTGATTCGATGGAAGATCGAATAACCCCTAGCTCTTGCTCCTTGTAGTAGAAAATCTCCTTGTAGTGGATCTCCAAGTCTTCAGGTGAGCTTGATAAAATGGGAGTCTTCTTAAGACACAAGGCAAGATATCCACCCCGGGGTTCTTAAAATCCTACTACTTCCTCTTGCTCAAAGATTGCTAAAGTTTAGTAAGAGGAGAGCTCTCTTTTATTCTCTTATGGAAAAAACACTTAGCCAATTTTTCATTAACCTTTCCATAAGAAAAAGAGCTCATATTTATAGAGTGAAATGTGTTCATGATATGAATGACTCATCCTATGAGTCATGCAATGAATCATCAAAAATTAATGATTAATCAAGTGAGTCATGCAATGAATCATCTTATGAATCATTACATTTCAAAACCATGTGCTAATAAACCATGTGCTCAAACCATACCACTAAGTGACTCATCTCATGACTCATTATACATGGTATGTGTATTTCATAAATGAGAATACCAAATTATTATCACTAATACAGTATTTCATAAATACGGTATATAGTATTATTCCAATCTTTAACTAATTAGTCACTATATGACCAAATAAATCAAGAGTTGACCAAAAGTCAACTGTTGACCAAAAAGTCAACTAGTTGACTAAAAGTTAACTTTATGGGAAAAATACTGGAATTCATTTCCTAAGCACATAGCATTCCGATTTTACCGATATACATAACCGTTTATGTGTATCCGGAAGAAATCATATATGCGTATCAATCATACGCATCACTCCATAAATTGTGTTTCATAGGATTCAAGTACGCGCTTGGTGTGACTCTAGGGCCCAACTTAAAAAACTCGGTAGTGGATCATATCCATAAGTACAACAGAGGTGCTAGCTACACATGAAGACCACCCGGGTATAAGTTGTGATAAAGGTCTGCAAGATGCTTATCCAATTTTATCAGGACCACTCAATGATAATACCGTACAGTCCGGTCTCTTCGTCAAACCATGTCAAACTATTGAGCCTAGGGTATGGCAAACTGTCAAACCCTAATAGCTTGATTAGTGTTTATTGATATTAAACTCATAACCTATAAGATCAAACTGACACTCAGTTTATCTTATTCACCTTGGCCAAGGATTTCCAGACTATAGTTATATCAAACAATCTTATGACATCAACCCCTATACTGGGAGAGACGAATGCCTTCTTGGCATCTCAATATCTACTTATGTCTCGGGATGTACCCAACAAGAACCGTTATGCACAATTCAATAAGAACTGTGGTTAGGTAAAAGTCTAAATACATCTTTACTGACATATAAGATATTGCACTCATGCCTCAGGTCAAGAGACTACTATGTACTATATCACTTGAGAACTTCTATTTGACAGTTAAGTATATTACCAACTAGATGTTCTCGGCGAGTCGTTCAGTCAACTCATTCACTAATGAGTCACCTGTATACTGTATCTTGATGTCTCACATCAATGATCTAAGAGATTGATCATCTCCTTCAAAAGGAGAAATAAAGTATACACTAGTCTAAACAAAAAGTGATGATGTCCTATCTCAACACTTCATCAACTAGGAACATTTTAGAATATACGTACCGACTAATCAGATCTCTTCATTACGATCACTATCCGAAATGTCTGATAGTCTAGTATTTATTCTAAGGACATTATCTGTATATTTAGAACATCAGATAAATCTGACCAAAATAGCATACTATCATTTCGAACAAGGATGTTATATACATATAGGTCCTGTTACAATATACAATAATTGCCTGCAGGGCACCTATATCTAACAGGAAGCCTATTAGAAATATTAGCATTGGTTTACATAAATTACAAACTTTTATGAAACTGAGCTTAGCTATTCATGTATTTTGGCTAAATAATGTCTTGTAATTAACTAATGCATATAATTGAGTACTGTGCCTCATCCAGTAGGATGATGCAATGGCCATCATGGCACCATGCTATTTTACAATCCATGATAAACATAATAACACCCTTTGTAATATTTTTGCTCGAATCATCTTTTTGTTCTATCAGCATATGAAACTGTATAACCACATAGTGATGTTTGATCTTTCTAAGTATTTAGCCACATTCTATTGTCTGTTTCTTCTGTTTTCACTACTGAAGCTAGAGGTATCTCTTTATTAATGTGGATTAAAATGCAGGACTAGCATATCCTCCCCTTGATTTCCACAGTGGAGGGGTTCGAGAATGTTTTGCAGCACTAAAGCAGCATGTTCTTATTGTCAGGTTGGTTTCACTTCTTTTAAGTTTCTTCAATCTTATAGATTACTATTCTTCAACCTTGGCATATGAATATTACTTACTAGAGGAAATAAGCTGCACATTATGGTATCAAAACCTTTGGTTCATAGACATGCGTGTATGGACAAGTTGAAAGTTGGGTTTTGGCTTTGAAAGTCTCTGTACGTCTTTTTTTGAGGAGACACAACAGGCTAGTTATTGTCAATTCTAATTAAGAATGCCTTTTCAGGTCATCAGATGATGCAAATGTCTTTCTTGTGAATAATTTTCAGGATCCTCTCAGGTGCATACTTTACCCTTTTTTTCTCGTAGATCATTGCGACTGTGGAAATCTTTTAGCATATATCTAATATGTGCTAATATATTATATATATATATGTATATATATACATATATATATATATATACATATAGGGAGAGGTTCAAATAAAAACCTCACTATCCTAAAAACTAAAAACCAATCCTCTCCATTGGATCTAGATTCATCCAATGGCTGAGATTAAAGCTGCATAAGGGTAATTAGGTAAAATAAGCAGCCCACTAAAGAGGTCATTAATACTTCTCTATTGAGTTCTCTATTTCCCCATGCAACTCTCTCTCTCTCCAAAATCACAGCAACTCTCTCTCTGTCTTCAACATCTCTCTTCTTCAACCTTCGTCTTCTTCACTCTCTCTCTCTCTCTCCAAAATCACAGCAACTCTCTCTCTGTCTTCAACATCTCCCTATCCACGGTCTTCTTCAACCTTCGTCTTCAACCTTCATCTTCAACCACTGTCTTCAACCTTTGTCGTTGTTAAATTATTTTGACGCTTTAATGGTAAGTTTATAAAATTTGTTTGATTTTTCGTCTAAAAGTTTTAGTTTTAACCTTAAAGATCGTAGCTTTTTGTTGTAAAAGGTGAAATATTTCACCTTTTAGTCTGAAAAGTTTTTTGTTTTTTGAAGAAACCAGTTGAAAAACGAAGACACGCATAAGTGAATCTAGATTCACTGCAGTGAATCTCGATTCACAACAGTGAATCTAGATTCAGTATGTGAGTTGTTTGTTTTTTACCATAAAAAGCGTACTTTTTTGCTGTAAAAGGTGAAATCTTTTCATGGTTTAAAATTTTATAGCTTGTTTTTTATCATAAGTTTCTTATTCTTTTTGTTTAAAATTTTATAGCTTGTTTTTTACCATAAGTTTCTTATTCTTTAATATAATCCGGATTCACTGGAGTGAATCCAGATTCACTCCAGCGAAAGCTTGGATGGTTAGGATGGTTTTTAATGAATTGTTGAAGAAATAAATGCATGTGCTGTAATTTCGAAGAAATAAACGCATGAGTGAATCTAGATTCACTGCAGTGAATCCAGATTCAGTTATGTGAGGTGTTTGTTTTTTACCATAAAAATCGTAACTTTTTGCTGTAAAATGTGAAATCTTATCATGGTTTAAAATTTTATAGCTTGTTTTTTACCATAAGTTTCTTATTCTTTTTGTTTTTTATTTTTGCAGATTTGCTATTGTTTGATAACGAGTTCAGTCCACTGAATCTGGATTCAATTCAGTGAATCTGGATTCACTCCAATGAATCGAGCTTCAATATAATCCAGATTCAATAGAGTGAATCCAGATTCACTCCAGCGAAAACTTGGATGGTTAGGATGATTTTTAATGAATTGTTGCTGTGTTCTTCATGCGAAGATGGAAGATCAAATCTTGATAGAAGATGGAAGTGAGTTACAGAGAGTATTAAATGACGTGTTGTATTAAAGGACGTGCTGTAAAAGAGAGTATTAAAGGACGTGTTGGATTAATGTAGTGAATTGTTCCAATTAATGTAGTGAATTGTTTCCAATGTTGCCAGCCACCATTAATGTAGTGAATTGTTCCAATTTTACCCTTTTTTACAGCTGATGTGTATTAAATGTGTCTATATTTACAATTCTGCCATCGAAATGTAGGCCATTGGATTAGATAGATTGGAGGGTTAGGATTGGTTTTTAGTTCTCTAGGTTTTTATTAGAACCTCTCCCTATATATATATATATATATATAATATATATAATATATATATATATATTATGATATTATATATATATTATATATATTTATATATATATATATATATATTATATATATATACAACTAAAAATCCTTAACGCTAGTCCTGTATAGTGTTAAGATTGGGCAAGTTCCCCAAAATACAGGGTATAGCAAGCTTCCGGTGGTGTCTTATAGCCAAAATTTTGGGCACAGAAAGAGGTTGGAGCATTAGGGGTACTGATATTACCCGTAAATGTTTTGATGTTTGGCATGGTTTTCTTTTCTTTTCAAGGAGTATGTTTTTCTTCTTGGTATACTACTGTCACACTTTCTGGAACAAGTATTTCATCTATATGTTTACTATCATGATGCTAATTGTTTTGAATTAAAGGCCTTGGAATTCAATTTGTTAATTTGCTGCTGCTTGTATTTATAATGCAGATAAGCTTGTCATCTCTGCAACAAGTTTTTCATCTATATGTTTACTATCACGATGCTAAAATAGTTTTGAATTAATGGCCTTGGAATTCAATTTGTTAATTTGCTGCTGTTTCTATTTATAATGCAGAGAAGCTTGTCATCTCTGGCATTACCAAGGGCTCTTTCCATCGCAAAAGAGGCAACTTTGCAAAATTTAACTAATTCAGTTTCTTCACTCGACTCACAGAGGCCTGATGTGGACAAGTATGATGGGAGTTTCAGTACTTCAGAGTATGGTGGAAGGCACAAGCAGAGAGTTAACGATCCTGCTCATGACATTCCTCTTCAGCTTTTAGAGAAATTTTCTCTACTGACCGAGTTTGCTTGGGAAACCGCTTCAAATATCTTTCACGAAAGTAATGAAATTGATGCTTACGAGAAAAAAAAGAAGAAGGATTCTTTTCGAGTCATTGAAACTGTCTGTCTACAAAATGAAACACAAGCAACTCCTGGAGAATTTGAATACTTTGGAGGTAACTTCATATTCATCTCTTGACACGTGTTTTAGCAATAAGTAAACATCGCGATGATATAGTAAAATCTCTTACAGGACAATATTAGCGTACTTTCCTTAGCACTTGCATCGTGGTCTCAACAGGGTTACAGTACATTTGACCTCAAATATATCTTGTTCTGGAACCCTTCACTCCTTTTAGATTTGTCCAATGTGGTCATTTTATTTCTATATCTATGTGCACTTGCATCTTGATCTCAACACAATTTTTTTAGTACATTTGACCTCAGGTATGTCCAGTTCTGGAACCACTAGGCGTCTTTTAGGTTTGTTCAATGTGGTCTACATTTATTTCTATATCTTATGTTAAAGAGAATATGAGCACAACTGGTGCGGGTGCATATATTTATTTGCGTAATCAATCCTTAATTCTGAAGATCCATTGTATGCCTTACAAATTTATTAAGTGAGCACAAGGGAAAAAAGGCGTAGCAACAAATACATTGGCAAATGTGAATAGCGGATTAGCGGTAGATCACAAACCAAGTTTTTTACTATGTCTGCAGTTGGGTTACTTTGGTAGGTGTTATATGTCTTTGATAGTTGGTATCTAAAGGATTATAAGTCTCTCAGTTTTCTGTAGTTTGTGCTGAGGCACTTGATGGTAGCAATGGTTCATTGATTTTGAAACTGAGATGATTGACATCATCATAAGGGGACTAGTAGTTCATAGGTATGCCCTTGATAGTTGCATTATCCGAAGACCTTTAACATGTTTTTTCCTTGCAGTAATCTGTGCCCAACTCCAATATATGGATCATCTAAGGCATATTAGTATGGTGTACTTCTCTATAGACTTATGCCAAACATGGTTAATTGATTTGGAAGAGAAACAAGAGTCTAGCAATGTATGATGAGGAGAATCATGGTCAGAAAAATTGGAGAGGCAGATAGTTTCCTTTTCTATAGGCTTAAATCAAGGGGCAACCGTAGTTGATAAGCTTGCTAGTTGAACTCACAATGGTATTCCATTGTAGATGTTAGATGGAGGACACCCACAGTTGTTGAGAGTGGAGAGATGATGAATGTGTTGACTATCATATCTCCATGATAGTGTTTTGATGATAACAATCTATATTGTGTGTGCACTAACTTTCATATGCAGATTTCAATATCAGAATATGTACAAGTGCAAGTGGATATCAAGGCATTTTGAAGTGAAGAAAATGAAGAACAAAAGATAATGTAATTTGATTTTTCTTTACTTAGAATTTTTGTACAAGCCTTGATCACACACACGCACACACACACAATTTTAGAACACACTAACACAGGCTTAGTGTGTTGGTTAACTATAGAAATCCCCTATGTTAACCATTAGAATAGTAGTTAAAACTTAATTATAAAAACTCTTTTTTACTGAATTTTTTAACCTTAGTAGTCGACTAATTAGAATAGTAGTAGACTACTCATGTATAGAACTCAAATACATGTTTCTGTCAATTTACAGTATAGTCGACTAATAGAGATTATAGGTAGTCGACTACAAGAGACAGTTTTCCAGTTTTCAGAATTTGAATTTCTGACAGTTTTTTAGCCGTTTTTAAACTTTATAAACTTGTCTTTTCAAGGGCTATATATAGGTTATTTGTTCAGAAAAATTGCATAGATATACATACCCATAAGCTTTGATCTTTGTGCAATTTTTCAAGTGAAAAAAATTCTGATTTTATGAAAAAGAGGAGTTTCAGAAATTGCCTATATACTTTCATCAAAAACAAATCATTAGGCAATTCTACAGAAATTAAAAGTATCCTAAGCCACTGCAGCACTTCACTACACATTCAAGGCTTATAGGATCAATTGTGTTCTTGCTTCAAAAAGGATTTCTCTCGGGTTTGAGAGGGTTGATCTCTTGGTTTAGAGATTGGGTGGCAATTGGCATGGTCTTGCCAATTGGTGTTGCAATTTGCATGGTCTTGTAAATTGGTCAGGTTTGCGTTTGATTTTGTAAGGTTTCAAAATCATAGTGGAAATCTCAAGCGGGATTTGCTTGGGGACTGGATGTACACCGGGGAGGTGGAACCAGTATACATGCTTGTGTTTGTGATGTTTATTTTCTGAGATTGCCATTCTTTCTTTGCAATTTATAATATACTTTACAAACTCACCCTCTAGTGTTTAAGTGTAAAGCTTCCGCAGATTTTTATAAGAGCGCACTCTATTCTTAAGGGTCACGATCCTACACTTGGTATACATAAGCAAAACAGGACCCTACAGAATGTTGCGTAGAAATTTGGAGAAAAAGTTCTAAACCTGAGGATGTGGAAATAGTTGGATGAAGGACTATATGAAGCACAACTTTGATTCGGGCTATGAGAAGCAATGAAGCAGTATGTATGTGATGGCCGCAAAATAACCTAGAATAGATAATCACATAAGTATTGGAACAGTTAACATGAATTGTTAATCCAAATTATAGCATCAGCAATCTCGTTTACGCAAACATTAAGTGCCATAATTTCCCTGTCATCTAGACTCCACCAGTGTAGAGCCATTTGTTGTGTGAGCTTATGATTAATAGAGCAATACCCTACTTACAGTATGACCTTTTAGAATTCATTTTAAGGCCCCCATTCTTAAGTGAAAGGAATAGGAAATTACTTTGCAGAACTTCAGAACTTTGTTAACAGTGTATCCTATATCAGTGGAAAAAGATTTGGATGATGTTGAGCCTTACATACTACTGAAATCTATTGGATCTTTGTCGCCCTATTCTCCTTTGTGCAATACATGGTAATTGATACTAGTTCTAGTATGGTACCGTTCTCCTTTTTTCTTCTTTGGATGAAGTTTTAATGTAGATCTGACTAGAGATATTTCATTCTGCATTTTCTTTCTTCTCAACTATCAACGTACAATTTTTATTCAATCTTTTGCAATTAAATGGAGTTCTTTCATGTATAAATATATCATCAAGGTATTTTGGATTAAGTTATATCCAAGTAAAATGGTTGTGGGATGCATGAAAGTACTATTGATCTGGCAGCTGGTTGGTCACCTGGCTGAAATAAGAAAGTTGACTTGCACATGGATGCTCCTATTCATCTTTAGGTGATTAGGGCTTTCATTGTTGTTTCATTTATGAATCATTCTGTTTAATTGCTCAAGAGTTCATGGGTACAACTAATAACATATGAGTTTTTTTTCACAGTCTGATGGGCTAAATCTAATGCGGGTTAAACCGAGGCAACGTCCTTTGGGTGTTGAAGAGATATTGTTTCGAATATACATATTAATTCTAAAGCTGATAAATAGTATTGGTGGTCTCTTACGTATTGTAACATTCAATTTTATTTGTCAATTTATAATAATTGGAGATTTAGATATACATTTGGAAATTTGTGATCTTTAGGGATCATACATTTGACATTTCTTACGTATTAACACATACCCATAACTGTACTACGCCGCTAATATGCTATTAATGGATAAACTCGACAACCTTGTCTTAATCCCATCTGCTGTCAGCTTATATTATGTTGCCAGCTCTTATTGGGATCAGTTCTTGGTTGGTAGCATAGACATCTTTATCTGAAAGGATGTTAAATATCCAAAGCACTGTAGTAACATCTATCTGCTGACCAGCCCCAGTATTCAAAATATTGTCTGCCCAACAGCAGCAGCATGTGCCCTTCTATACTGTCTTCTAACTGAAGCTAGAGCTTCCATTTCACTCAAATGAATCATTGAAATGAATCAAGTGAACTAATAATTCTCGTGAAACATATGAGCTTAGTCAATAAATGACTTATTTGGTCTAATTTCCAAGTTCTGTCATGCTCCTTTGTCCCTGACAATTCTGTCAGAAATTGTTATGAATAGTGCAGAAGATGATTCTTTTTTAAGATAAAACAATGGTGAGACAATGGACATCAGAGATGTTTGCTTTCTCCAAAAAGGACCTTTCTTGTGTGAATTTCTTTGCTTGTTGTAATGAAGATTGAAGACTCTTACAGCCTCACTTATCCACCCAAAGATAGTGCCTTCCCTTGTTTCTGCACATGTTAAATGTTCTTGGCTCTCAAAAGTCAAAACAAATCTTTTGTTGTCAGTTGGAGTCACCTGTGTTCCCTTTTTAATACTTGTTTTTGAATGTTTCCGGCAGTGGATTGTCTTTTTAGACTCTGAAAGACGAATCATGGATTCAAAGGCCTTGAGAAAAAGAATATTTTATGGAGGGGTTGAACATGGTCTGAGGAAGGAGGTGTGTAATTCACAGCCCGTATGTTGCTGCATGTTATGTACATAACGCTAATATAGAATGTTAAGTAGATGACCTGCGGACTTTCCGGATTTGTAAGTTTTTATTGGGTTACAGGCATATGACTCGACATTTGCTGAACAGGAATATCTTGCAACAGTTAAGAGATCAGAATATGAAATCATAAAGTCACAGTGGCAGGTTTGTCTTTTTAAACTATTTGGTTATTAGAATTTTTTTTTTGTTCTTTTACACTTTTGAAAGTTTGGGTTTGTTTGTTTCCATGCATTTAGCAACCTTGCATTAGAAAAATGAGACCCACAAGTTAATAATCATGGTTTTTTAGCAATACTTTGTTTTGTCAGGATTTATCATATTATGGATTTGGGGTTGCCAAGTAGGATAGATGCATCAAATGTAATTCCCTAACATTATGCTGATTTTAACCAGATTTATGATTTTAGTCACATATCCTTAACCAAATTCATGTGCAACCAAACAAAATTTGGTTGGATTATCTCTCATGCAAATCTTCTTAGATATTCAAACAAACAAGATTTTGAGTATGGATTTTTCAAAATCCATTAGATGCATCATGATGCAATCCACGAATCAAACAGCCCCTAAATAACTTCAATTTGGGATCAATAAAAGTTATAATATTGCGTATAGATCACAATATCGGTCAATTAAGAAACAACATGTGTGAATAAATGTAGCGAAAAAGATGATGTTATGATGGACGCGTGGATTACATTAAGATATGTATAAGAAATGTGTGCGTTCATAGGAGGTTAGAGCTTTGCTTCCGAGGATCAAATGAGAGAAAACCTATTGAGGTTTGTGAATGTCCAGTAAAGAGTAATGAATGCATAAATTAGGAGAAATGATAAGATTGTAATTATTGGAGCTAGAGGGTTGGAGTAGCTTAAGAGAACCTGGCTGGAAGCAATTAAGAAATATAAGATAGTGATTAATTCAAAGATCAGATTTGTTTCGGACTGGAAAAAAATAGAGTTGTTACGATTTTATCTGTTCTGTTAGGATAGAGTTGCATTTGTTTGATTTTGGTTTAAAGATAGGCTTGAATTTGTTAGTCGAATCAGTTACTTGTTTTTTATTCTAATTCTATTAAAGGGGGTTATGACTTCATGTACGGCAGAGATTTTTTGGAGGAGTAAAAGTATATTTACGTTTGATTTTGGGAGTGATTTCCTTAAGAGGGTTTTGTGAGTGATTTCAACCATAGATTATTGCCAGCAATGCCAGGGAGGGAAGGGGCCCAATCATTATCTTTTTCGTTCTTTCTTTTTCCACCCTCTTTACTTATATTATGGCACCCCAGGGAACCAAAAAATATTCTTCCCTGCAGCCTCACAATCCAAGAAACAGACTCGTTTTCATCTTATTGCTGCAACTAAAACCAGCCAACAGCAAGCCTACAAGACAGCCAAACGATCATCGCCTAAGACCCTCGAATAGATTCTCCATCAAGCCTTCAAGAAAGCCTCCATCCTTCTTTGTTTGGCTGCATATGTACTGCAAAACAGCAGCCTAATCATTCCTTTTCCCTCGTTTTCGTGAGCTGCAAACAAAATTAGATTATCCAACAGCAAATCCTCATTAATTTTATCCTATCCTCATCAAATCTCATGTAAAATTAACATGATTTTGGTAGAAAGAAGTGTTGTCTGAAACTGCTCTTTTATTTGTTTATCATTTGGTTATGCACAACGATATAGATTTTAGGTTTTTGTACAACTCATCATGTTATCACATTTACCATTTATCTTAATTTCATGAGGTTCATGTTATGTCAAGAAGACTACTGTTGCTATAAATCATGCATAAATATCACATGGGTGACATGTGGAAAGAGAAGGCATTCATTTCTTGTCAATATTTTGAGGGAAAACGTTTGGACCTATTTAGGTGGCTAAATAGTGAAATGTAGATACTAATTCTATTTTTATGTACATGGATTGATGAATTTGACTTGGTAGGTTATTTTGAAAAGTTTGGCCTTCCGCGTGTTCATTGGTCGTGAAATTTTCTGTCTTTCACTTGCTTGCTTCAAAATTACAGAACATTTCTGCAACACAAGCGAGATGGTTTACAAAGTTTAGGGAGAGAGGAGGCCTAATTGAAAAGGACATTGTAATGGTTCTTCCAATCCACTTTTCTGAATCCTTCAACTCCTTCAGTGTAATTTACCAAAGGCAGCATTTTAGCTTCTATGCACTGTACTTTATTATGCTCATATTTTCCTTTCGTGTGCATTGTGAAGGTGAGAAGTGATAGATCTGTCTCATACTTTGATGGAGATGACAATCCCCATGTAGGATGCTTACTTGATGTACTGCTGACATACTCATTCTACAATTTTGACCTTGGTTATTGTCAGGTGAGATACTAGCTCATTCTAGGCTAGCTCAAAATTCCCTCGTAGGATATGCCTACATGATGTACCACTGAGATACTCATTTTACAATTTTGACTTTGTTTATTGTCAGGTAAGATTCTAGTTCATTGAACGCATTTTCAAATTCTTGAAAATAAATTCTAGTAATGTACCGGTTGTCAATCCAGACAACAGCATAGCTTATTCTTCTAGACCATGGATTTTTCAGTTGCATTATTTTCACACATACCCACACCCTTACACACAAAAAAATCTTATATGTTGACTTGTCCATTAGTAGGTTATTTGTTTTTGTCATTCTTAATCTCGTTGTTGTTTGCACCTCCATTAGCACTATATTATACTTTGAATGATCTACTTTAATATTTGTATTGTTTTCTCAATCTTTTCTAGGCATTGCATATTTCCTTCATGTTGATTAACCAATAAAAGTTAATATGATGAAAAAAATATAGCTAGGATTCTTGTATAAGTCTTGTAACATTTGAGACTGATATCAATTTAACCGATAGAAGTTAACATGATGAAAAACTTTTAGCTAGGATTCTTTTGTAAATCTTGTAATATTTGAGACTGATATCAATTTGACCTTCAGGGCATGAGCGACTTCTTGTCACCGATATTATTTGTAATGGAAGATGACTCAGAATCATTCTGGTGTTTTGTTGCTCACTTGCTCTCATGAACGTCTGGGACTAAACTTTAATCGTGATTGGAATGGCATGCATTCTCAACTTTTTGCATTGTCTAAGGTGAGGTCATGCATTATAAGCATATGCCAATTGTTCTGTCACACTAAGTGTATAGGCTGCTTAAGATTTCATATAAGAAGTATGTAGACAGCTGCGTGGATCCTTCATCAGAGGTCAGCTTGGATTTACTCCATGTTTTAAACTTTTGCTTGTTATGTTTATATCAACTTGTTCATCTCTTTCTTTCCTTGAACTACCATAGGATGTGACATATTTGTCTTTAAATTATATAATTGCCGGGGAAAAATTCAATGCAACATGTCATTTTACATACTCTTTTTGAGCTAAATTTCATATCATATTTTTCTAAATTTTTGACATGCAAGATTTCAACTACACTAGGAGGCAGTGTACTTCAGTATGATCAAGTAATGCACATTATTTTTAGTTAAGGAACAAGTCATTATACATCAGATGAAGTCAATGCAGTGGATGTCTTGATGTGTTTTTCATTGTGTTAAATGGTTTGAAAGAAGAGACGAGACTTTTTTTTAATTCTTTTGAAATATGAAGATATCTGTAAATATGCCAAAGAAATAACCTAACAGACAGGTCCAACACATTCAGACATCAGGATAAAAATAGAAGTCATGCAGTTAGTTCAAGGTTCTCTACAGAAACAGGGAACAGAGGAAATGATAAATTAGTGGTTCAGGCTGTTAGTTGATCTTTGTTCGGGGAAAAGCATAGGTTGGAAGATAACAGCATCCTCCAAGCTTTCTTTTTTCACTTTATGAACGATGTCATAACACTTCAGATCAGTTGGTAACTTAGTTCTTGAGAATGGGAAAGAGACAAGGTTCACAGGAAATTGTTTTCCAACTTCAAGGCCGCATATAACCTGAAGAGCACAGGCCTTTGAACTTTTATTTAAATGATATATATGTCCTTTGAAAGATTGTATGTGTAAAATAAGCACTTCTGATTTATGCTGATGGCTTCTGCACCAAAAATGCACTCCATGAAATATTAACATCTAACGCCCTCAACTGTAAAGGCCTCTTGCAAATGGTGTCCTGATTTGGAAGACAACACTTAATCCAAAAGCTTAAGCAAATGGTTTTTGCAGGCCAATGATGTACCAAATAATTTTACATTTAATGCTATATGCATGTTTGGTATCCTTAGGACTTTGAATGTCAATGCATTATACTTTATGCTGCTTGCTCTTCATTGGAGTCATCACCAGATTATGGTGCTTTGCCTGAAACATCTTTAGGATTTACCTTTCTTCCATATATTTTGGCAGACATTCACTATCATAATCATCTCTCTTGCATCTGGTTTTATTTTGATTTTTTTCTTCATCCAACATTTACTGAGCTTTCCCGCAAGATTGTGAACTGCAATATCCTGATTTTGTTTGAACATCTTCCATTGTCAGCTGGTGGAGCTTCTAGATCAGCCACTGAACAACTACTTACAGCAGAAGACTGCTTTAACTACTTCTGTTTCCGTTGGATTCTTATACAGTTTAAAAGGTGTGTTCAGATTGATTATTTGTCCAACCTTGCGAGCTATATAGGTCTTTTAGCTTTCTTGGTATATCAAATGCTTGAAAATGGTTAACATCAAAAAATTATTGATGTTAACATAGAACTATAAGTTGATATGGAACTTTCATTTCTTTAGGTGCTGTTTGGCAAGAGGTTAAGAGAGGATGGTCAAGGAAAAGTGTTAACTTAGTTAACCCATTATGAGAGGTTAAAAATAATTAAATTCCATTTTTAGATTAGATAGTTAATAGTAGGGGTTAACTTTTTTTGTGTTTGGCAAGGAAGGGGTATGGAGGTTAACTCTTCTGAATTTAAAAAAAAATCCCAATTCTAACCCTATTAAAAGTATGAAATTTTTCCGATAAGTATTATATTCAAATAAATTCAACTAGAATTTGTATTCATCTAACCTATAAAAATACCATCATTTTGTATTATTTTAATATTGATTGAAAAGCTAATAATAATCTATACTACTTATAAAAGAGAATACCCATGTCAAAACTTTTGATTTCCTTTTTTACCCTCTCAAAATTTTTATAACACACATTATACCATTATTCATAAAGCTAAATAATTCATAACCTCTCATTAACTATGTGTGTCTTCATTTTCTCAAATTATCTAGTCATTCACTAGAATATATTAATAATTTATAATGATTAAAAATTTTATAAATATATGATAGTTATTATAAAGAATTATTTATTTATATAGTACATAATTATAATTATCAATAATGGTATAAATGGGGTTATTTTTTATAAAAAATTTTGGATCCTTGAAATTTATGAGACATATACTTTTCTTTTCTTTTCTCTAAAATATTTGGTCATTCACTAGAATATATTAATAATTTATAATGATAATAAAATTAATAAATGTATTATAATTCATTATAATGAATTATTAATTTTAATGAAATAACAAAATTATTTATTTAATAAATTATTGTACATAATTATAATTATTGATAATAGTATTAATATGGATTGATTCTTTATATTGTAAGGAATATTACCTTTTTCGATATTATAGTATCGTCTTAGTAATAAAAATTGGACGTTCTGAATTAAAATACTTTTATTTAGGAAAATTACTTTATATGAAAATATTGGATCATTAAATTTTATGATAAAACACTTTTTGTTAAAAAGTAAATGTCTCATAAACTTCAAGGATCCAATATTTTTATATAAAGTATTTCTCCTAAATTATAGTATTTTTAATTTATACCGTCTAATTTTTTATTGCTAAGATGATATTAATTATCGAACAAGATAATGTTCTTTACAACATAAAGTCATATAATAAAAATTATTTCCATTATTTAATAGATATTGTAATAAAATTTGTACAAAACATAAATATTAGTAATATAAATGGTTTAGTTATTTCAATAGCGTTAAACCAACGATTACGTTATTATTTAATAATTATACTCTTAAATAAAAATTTTAATAACATAATAACAATAAGCAAATTTAAATAACTATTAGATGTATGTTAATAATAGTATAAGTACTAATAGTAGTATAACTTAAATATTTTAATCATAGTGTAATAAGATAACTTTGTAAAATATTTATATATTAATTTATTAAAAAATAAAATATTAAATTATAAAATATCCACGTGCAAAGCACGTGCATTATGCTAGTCAATTTAAAAATAGAAAATTAAAGTTAATTTATTGAAAAGAATAAAAATTACATAAACAGTGTATATTGTCCTAAAAACACGAGCGCCATTTGAAGAATGACTTTTGATGATGAACTACTTCAAAATATAATTGGTTAAATTTATGTAGTATAATGTTATAAATAATGTATATGATGTCTTAGTGTTACCTTGTGTAGAGCGCATGAAGTGTTTTCATGGGCATCATAGAACACTAACAAATCTCCCTCCTGCAAAGTATCCTACCCTTCACCCAAATATAATTTTCTCCGGTCAACATCTTTCATCACTCTATCAAATATGCGGCTTTGACGGGTTAACTAGGAATTAAACCCTTGGCAAGGGTTTGTTAATCCATTTGTGATTTTTATTGTTTGGAAGGTTAACAAGGGAATAACCTTCTTAATCCTTTCATTAAAACCCTATGCCAAATGGGGCCTTAAGTTTTGCAATCATCTTTCCATTAAAAAAAAATAACAACCGTCTAGAAAGTCTAGAATGATATATTTGATGTGTCAGTAAAGTTGGTGACCTGAACATATCTTATTCGGAGAGTCAAATCCTGATCTGCAACCCTTAACATGTATTGGAACCCTGTTGCTTTCATTTTGGTGCAACTTCGTAAAATAATGTGAGATGAAAAAATGAAAAGAAAAAAGAGAACAGAGAAAGTTACACGTTAAGGATCACTTTGAATGAAGTTTCAAATACAAGGAGCGTTATTCTACTTGAGAGCGTTCCTTCTTATGGCAAAATGCATGACCACGAAATGAGTACTGGACGCCAAGGCTCTAGGCGTGAACCCTTGTGAGAGTTGGTTTTGTTATCTATCGGCTACCCAACCATGGGTCATTTAATTATCTATCGGATGCATGAAATGCTTTTGTTAAAGTATAAAAGTGAAACCTTGAACCCTCATCACAGCTCCAGAGTTTTGGTCTATGGCAGGGTTCTTTGACATGGTTTTAGATCAACCTCGATTCAACTCTCACTGACCGCAAATTTAAAGCTGATTTACAAAAGAAAAAAAAATGAATCACTGTGCGAGTCCAGGTTTCGGCCCCACATAAAGAGCACTCAGCCTATAGGGTGTGATAGAGTATAAAAATACAACCCTCAGCCCTCATCACAACTTAAGAGATTTGGTGTAGTGGAAGGGTCCTTTGACAGCTTTAACCGCAAGGTCGGTCAATATATGGTTATTGCTGAGACATATGCAATTTGAGCTGTGAAACTCATACTGCCAAACCAACGTTAATCATGTAACGCAGCAGCTCATGCTTCTGTGCAAAAGGTTGTGCTGCCATTTCCTTAATTGACATCCACTGCATAAGTACAGATTTAAACAGCTAAACTTCTGGTGTTGTAGGAGTAGGGGAAAATGTAAACCGCTGAGATCCTAAGCAGACGACGAGTACAAGTAGACCTTGTTGTAAGGAAGCAGAAAAATTTCTTCCCTTTGATGTAAAATTCCACATGATGATTGGGATAGAGGTGGGATCATTTCGTTTCATGCCCACAACTCACAGGTAATAGGCGTAAGTAACCAAGTCATTCAAAAAATTAGGAGATAATTTATAAACATTACATTCATCTGCGAAAGAAAGATGCTCAAGCATATTAAAACTGAATCCAGCATAGACAGAGACAATTATCTTGATGTTGTGTTTGTTAGTGTTTCGTGCTAACATTTCCATTTCCTATATGGGGGTATTTTGTGGTCTACAGGGGTTCTTTACTTGTGACTATCTCAGAAAGCAGCATGCTAATATTCCTCTGAAATATCAGACAACTTATGTTTAAAGAACCCTTAACATGTGCAGAGAGTTGGTGTTCTCTCTTTTTTACATATTTCTCCAATACTTGGCTACCCAACCATGGGTCATTTGAGTGGCACGGTGTTCTATAACTTGCAGAGGCTTGACATCAGGTAGATGGCAGGATGTAAAAGTTACTTGTTCTTTCATGGAGCTAAAAAGAGAACTGTTTCAACGATGATATTTTGTTGAGGGTTGGGAGCCTTGGGTCATTTGTTAATGTAATTAGAATTGAGGAATAATGAGCAGGTACATAGAGTTATCAGAGAAAACTATTGATGATACTTATGGATGGTGAGAGCACCAAAATTATCGGTAAGAAGGGCTGACTTGAATTGTTCAAACCATGATATCCTTGAATGTATGACTAACCTCTCATTTTGTATAATCCATAACCAAAAATAAAGATTTAATCAGCCACAGTTCATATGTCACTTTTTTAGTCTGTGCTTTATGTAACTCTGGTTGCCTTATCACATCTGGAAATGTCTAGGGAACTTGAGTTCGAGCGAGTAACACGTCTATGGGAGGTACTAAGGGCGCAGCATCCATATGAGCACTTCCACTTGTACGTATGTGTTGCTATCTTGAAGAAGTGCCGAAGTAAGATCGCAGGGGAGCAGACGGATTTTGATACTCTGTCGAAGTTCATAAACGAGCTCAGTGGTCGCATTGATGTAAGACGAGATCGTAAGAGATGCTGAGGCTCTATGTCTCAATGCTGGAGAGGAAGGTGCTGCTTGTATTCCTACCGGAGCTCCACCATCCATTCCGGTAGTAGGAGAACCAGGTGACTATATTCTCAGCCTGGTGAATTGTAACTGGGCGTTCATGGTTGAAATTGTTTTAAGCACTGAATTGATTGTTTTCTTTACTACTACAGTTGTTTGAAACTTTCGAGATAGTTGCTTGGGACATGGTGGTTTGTGAAATAAGCTGAATGTTAAAAATTATGGTAGTTTTCAAGTTGTCATGATTGTTGTTTGAAATATGACGAGAAGACGGATGATAATAGCAATATATGCGCTGAGAATTGGCTAAGATTTTGACATGCAAACCGGCTATTGCTGAAGAGATTGGCGAAGAGTTTTTGAGGCAAAAAGTTTTTGAGAGAGAGAGAGAGAGAGAGGTGCGGATGAGATTGGCGAAGAGTTTTTGAGGCAAAAAGTTTTTAAGTGGATGCTGCCACAGAGGAGTCGGATTTATAATGGGTAGTCGTGCCCATATTTGAGTATCAGCCCATTATCCGTGGTTTCTGTTCGGCCCCTTTTTTGTTAAATGGATACCACCCTGTTGAAAGCGCAAGGGGGAGATAAGTGTTTTGGCATCCGCAGCTTTTATAGCTTTTATAAAGTTACTCTGAATTATCTCGTGCATACGACGAAAAAATAACAATTGCACTTCGGTTCATGACAATAAATATGTACCAAATGAATATCAACCTTTGAATCATTAGATTTCACGGTTAGTGCACAGATTCAAATGTTGACACTCTTTATGTGCATATTTAATATCTTGAACCATCTGAATACTTTCTCTAAGGGGGGGTTATTCATTGGTGTAATTTGGGAAGTAATGGGATAATTTTTGGAACATCACTTTTTGGTGTTATTCATTGGGGTAATTGGAATTGGAGTCAACTTTGTGGTGTTATTGGTTTGTTGGGATAATTAGGGGACAAATACTCCATTTTCCCCTAAATTATACCAACTATATAAAGATCTTCTCCACCCCTTCCTCATAATTACCCCAAATTTACCCCATCCTCCATATTGGAACAATGTTGTTCCACTTTAAAGGCAATTGAGGTAATTTTAAAATATTTTTGTATTACTTAACTAATACATGCTAATTATATTATAAATATATGATATAATATATAAAATATAACATATATTAATATTTTAATAACATAATTTAATAACATATATTAATAATATTATATAATAGTAACTATAATATAATATATTTATTATAATATTATATAATATTTTAATAACATATATTAATAATATTACATATTATATTTTTGTATAAATAAAATAATGAATTATATTAAATATTATATTATTAACATATTATATTAAATATATTGATATTATATTATATTAATTATTATATATAGTATAGCATGATAATATAATATAATACAATACAATATAATAATTAATAATAGTAATTTGTAAGTATAGTACAATATATTATATTTTAATATAAATAAAATAATATTTATATTATAATAATATGCTAAATAATATACTAAACCAATTAGATAAGTTAATTTAGAAGTAATTAATAGATAAAGTTATATTTTAATAAGTTGCCACATCATCAATTATCCCACATGAATTGTCAAATCAAATGCTGAAATTATCTCATTATCCCACTTTACCCCACTCAAAATATCCCAAAGGGGTAAAATTGTTCTATTGGAACATTTTTCCCCCTTGGTCCCAATTTGTCCCAACCAATAACCCCCCTAAGAGCACAACCTCATGTTCAGTAGTAGCGAATCTTCTTGAATTTCCACCCAAAAAAATGAGATCAGATCCTCTACAACCTTACTTGTAAAGGATGCCTACAATTAGTTACGTGGGCTGTTACTATTGGTTTGCTTCAAGCAATTAAAAGTTTTGTTATACAATGTAGATAACGACTTCATAGGTTCCAATGATTGGAGAGAGATTATTAATGGATCTCTACAGCTAAGAATGTAGAGGATTTCTAGGCAAAAAAAAAAAAGGGAAAAAGAAGAAGAAGAATCACTGGGAAACTATATGGTCTGTTTATTGGTTGATGGATCAACTATATCTATTTTTTGCATCGGTACAAAAAAAAATCTTTGATAATTAGTACTCGTCTTTTCCTTCCTTTAAAGATTGTACAGTGGTGCATAGAGTATAGAGCTAAGCAAGCCACCTTAAAGGATAAATGAAATTCAATCATTTGGATACTTTCATCCCCCATCACCATCGTCATTGTCGAAACCAAAATGGAGCACACGACTCCAAGAAAGCTCGACAAAACCTGCAAGCAGCGGAGCGGAGACACGAATCTGGAGAAGGAAATGGTGATCAGACGTGAAGATGAAAAACCACCCGTCATTCATTCACACACGCTGAACAAGATTCTCAGGAGAGCTCACTCGCATCACAAGAACAAATGTACCCTATGTGTACTCAATAATTAAAAGAGACTTTCTAATAAAACCAAGACATCTAAAGGGTATACAACGTAAAATTTGCACCTTCCATTAACAAAGGAGGGGGAAACAGGGAACAAAATCATCCATATCATTAAATAGTGTGACCAAACCCTACATAACTATATCAAAAGCTGAAACAAACGTAGCCCTTGTAAACCCCAAATCTCCCCCATTAATCTTCTTCTCTACATCTGTGTTTTAACATTTAGGGACCTCATACCATTTGCAAGTCAGTTATTCTATTTGTCAGAACATTTGGCATGCTGTTAAATATTTCCACACATTGATCCTAGGGCTTACCATGAGTTAGACCTTTGTCCCCTGCATCCTGAGAGCATAAAATCATCGACAAAGTTGACATTCAACGTTATCACCTTGAAGGTTGATCAGAAGCAGGATTTCCAGCTGGCTGGCACGAGCTAGAGTTTCCTCCTGCACCATTTTCTGGCGGAGGGTTAGTTCCCCATTTTCCTTCTGACTCTGAAGGTTCGAGTACTTGGACACTTCCATCGGTTAGTCCTACTGCAAATTGATTTGGATCTGAAGGATGTGCAGCGACAACAACTGGATATATACTGGAGCTGATAACAAACAGAAAGACTTTAAGTTACAGAAGTTGTGGATTAAAATAGTAGGTGAATCACAACATATGAGTTATGTGCTTGTTTTGGGAAAGGGAGAAGGTATAATTTACGACATCATGTGTTTATGTAATTTTTAAAGTACCTTGCATTGTATCAAAAATCTGAAGTTGTGAGAATTGACGTCTATAATCTATCTATAGTATATAATAAAACAAACCCCTTGGTATTCAGAGAGTTTTGGATGTTCAAATTGATTTTGTTACTGCTGGTTCAGAGAGTTTTGGATGTTCAAATTGATTTTGTTACTGCTTCAAACAAATAATAACGATAATGATAGTAATATGAGAAGTCACCCACTAGCTTCTTAACACCACTATCCATTAATTCACATCTTCATAAACCCATTCCCCCATTCCTCATTAACCATCTTTATTTGTTTTGTGCCATTAATTTGTTTAGTTTCCAAAGAAAACTGTTCTTCATTTATCTTAGTCGGTGTCTATTTCAAATATGTATTTATCAAATTATAATATTACCTAAATGTGTGTGCAATAATATGGTAATACACTAATACTAAGTTGCATGCATTTCACAGGTAAGAACTAGTTTTATACTATTACTTGCCCCCACCCCTGTGCCCCCATACCCCAAGGTTGAAGGTTCTTTACATAAGGCTGAAACCCTGGCACTTTATGTAGTGGTATATTTTGCTTTCTCAACTTCACTAGAAGTGCATGACTAGTGGGATTTGAGCCTGGTTTGCTCTAAAAATTTGAAATTGTGGTAAGGGTTGAGGGTTATAAATATAATCGTGCATTTAACATGTATATCCTTTTCTTCAATTATATGTCTCTCAGCCAAAGAACTACTAGAAATTCTCAAGTTTAAAAGGCCTGACTTCAAATCAATGTAATGTGAATAGCACAACTTTTAAATAGAAACATCAACCTTCAACATAAATCATTTACGAAAAAAGTTAACAAACATCATCAGTACCTTGGTTGGGAGTTAAGATAGGCTGTGGGGCTGATTCGACACCTCAACTTTAGTGCTGAAGTAAAAACACCAACACTTCCATCCGTGAAACTTGTATATATCATTTGGCTATCGCATGAATATGCTGCATGTGTGACGGATCCCTCTCGTGGCAGCCACTAGGAAAAGAGTACAATAATAGCAGGAAAAACAATTGTGATCAGAAAGGTGATAATATATATGTAATGAACAGTGATTTCATGTATGCATAAGAAAATTGCACATAAAATGTATGTATTCCAGAGTACATGCCAACTAACACCATTGTCGCAAGTGAGTACAGAAGAGAGGAGTGTCAATAAAAACAGCACCATCAAATAATAACCTTTAAATATGCATGAATTATGAATGCGTATAACATGATGATAAATATCCACAAAACATCATTTCCAGGCATCGCCATCATCATTGTCATAGAAGAATATCTAGCATAACACTAATTTGAGGGCACCCTGTAGAAATAATGACCACTTTCTAAAGCTACCTCTAACAAGCAACTTGATCCTCTGAATGGCTTCCGCCAGAACCTGGAAGTTATATGCACGTGGGACTGGCAAAAAAAAGGACTTTTCTAACGCTGACCACCACGTATGTGCTTCTAGCAAATTGGTGAGGCAGCTCAAGTTCATTGCAATTACAATTAATTTGTTAAATATGCAGATAATGTCAGTGGGTACATTTACAATTAGAGATTTGTTTGGAAAAAAAAGGAGGTCATGGCAACATTTACAGTTAATTTGGCGATGCTGATGGCAAAAATCATGAATTCCTCAAGAGCTCGGGGTTACCTCAGAGGATATGGTGAATCGGGCCAAAACAAGTATAATGGCTATTTAGATATCTGTCTTACACTAAATCTAAGCAGAGAACAAACATGGGTTTATTAACTCTATAAACAAAGCGTTGACAGAGTTTTACAAAGGTGCAGGGAGCAACAAGGATAAAATATGGCCAGCTCACCTGTTTTAAACATTCCAGTTTAGATGCTTCATATATACCAAGCTGTGTCTCATGCACAACCAAGAAATGAATCTGATCATGATGAAACTGGACTCTAGTTTCTGAATGAGAACTTGCTACTCGCCCAGGAGGAATCTGTAAAAATTTGCTAGCTTGTTTCTCCCAGCCATCTGTCCCCCACACGCATAGCTACAATAAGCAAAAGGTAAGTACCATGGGTACGATCAAATCATTTGAAAGATGTGTATCTTATTTAAACAAAGGAAGTGCAGAATTTATTGAGTTGCAAAACCAACTTCCCATATCAATATAATGAATGATAAACACAAGGAGAGGTAGTCAAGCATGGCTAGACCTTGAAATAACTCAGCAGCATATGTTGGTGTCATGATTAATCATGAAAATAAAGCAAAGCTAGTACTTCACTGTTCTAACAAACCTGAGCATCCGCCCCTGATGAGACAAGAACATTTAGGGCATTGGAAAAGGCAAGGCCAGTGATACTCTTCTGGTGTCCTTTAAGCTTGCTTTTAACCTGCATGGGTTGATAAAAATGACCATGAGTATATCATTTACATGAATCATCTATATACTAGTTAGTAGTTATGTAGTATCCTTTGATTAAAAAGAGACCAACCTCATCAACTCGAACATTATAAATTTGAATCGAAGAATCATCCATGCCTATAGCAATAACATTATTATCCTGGGGATGGAAAGCCAGAAATGTTGCTGCTGGAGGGGGTGCCATAAAGGTTGTCATTGTCTGCAATGAAACAATGCATACACACCTTAGTACTAAGAAATTATGTGACAGCATTTAGAAAAGAATGGAAAATAAGAAACCTTAAATGTCATCATATTGAAAAGGGATATCTTCCCGCCTGATGCGGACATGACATATGAATCATTCTTTGATAGTGCAAAGCAATGGACTGTTTCTTCTGCATTTGCATCACTAATTTCATTAGTCATAAGTATACCACTTGTAGGCTGCCATAGCTGGGGTGCCACCTGAGCAGTTGCCTGAAGAAAGCCAACAATGTTCTAGGTAAAAGATCAGAGGAGTATATGAATATTTTACTGGCTATAGAATATGATTTGCAACAAGAATGACAGTACCTTGCCAGTGGCATTTCTATCAGTCTTCTGCCATTTCCATAGCTTGTGAACAGCATTACATGTCAAAGCCAAGATTGCATTTCCTGAATTGGTATAAATCAACCTAGCAACCTGAAGCAACAAAAGAAGAGGTAAGAACCAGAAAAAAGAATAATTATATGCTCACATTAAGCTCATATAGCTGGTAAGCACAATCTCTGCCATAAAACTAAGTACGAGAGACCACATTTAGGCCAAGAATCAAATGTTATACTAATAAGTAGTTCAACTTGTTTCTAATCATTATTGGTCTGCAAACCTCTAGTATCACATTGCTGATTGATCTGAATTTTAAAAAATGTGCATCATCCTTAACATTTTAACATGCTGAAGCATTTGGCTTCTCAGACGATTTGTCATACCTGTTTCTAACTTTCTAACTTACCTGCTTCTGAATCTAATTCCTGACTGATATAAACTAATTGAGATCATTCAGCTTCAGAAGTTTGATGCTAGGGAAATACATATACTTGTGTGCAAAGAAGTAGCAGTGTCGAATAGGAATTCAACAATGACCATATTAACTATTATGGGATACAAGGTAATTACTGTGTGACAATGCTGTCTTCATCACTATTAAGTCCTTAGATAAATACAAACAACTTGCATATTCTGTGCATTCCTATCACAGATCCTTGTTAATAAAAAAGCGTGCGGCCATTTTATCTAATGACAGATTGACAACGAATAGATAACATTCAATCAGAAAAGACTTTTCCAGCTCCTTACACACAATAGGGTGGGAAAATAGTAGTGCGCGGAAAGGAAAGCCAAAGAGGCGTCCAAAATCAATTGTTTTTGACACATCAGACGGGAATAATGAGGCGGCAATTCACTAAAAGGGAGGCTACATGTTCAAATTATTACAAGGCTCAGACTAAATCTAACCAGAGGAGCCAGATACGCTCTTGGATTCATCTCTGACAGATCCAACAATGTTTATTTTTCAGCTGGCTGTTGGCTACTTAATCCTCATCACCTAAGCTTGAGACTGCAACAAACGAATAGGATATTAAGCACAGCACTAGACTCAATCATGTTTACATAATTATATTTATAGTTGTTACATATAACACTACCCAAATCATTGTACTGGTCCACTTGACATGCCCAATTATTGCTAGCAATACACTTATACTCACTACTGAAGCAGTTGTAACAAGATCAATCTGGACCGATGAAAAATAGTGTTTGTTGGGTACTGGAATCTTTGCAAGATATTACGGACAGTAAGCAAAAAATGCTTACACTGTTTGATGTTAAAAGTATAGAATTTTAAAGAGGGTTCAAACATATAAAACAAAGGTGATATAGAAGAGCGCTCTGTTTTAAAAAAGCGCTCAGTGTCTGCCTAGGCGGAGGCAGTAACCAGGATGCCCAGTTAAACATTGGTGGCACCTAAGAGGCTATTGATCGCTTATGTGGGCCAGAATGCGTCAAAAATGAGTATGTCGTCTGCTTAGGCATAGAAACATGTGTATAAAATGGACCCAGTCAAACTGGATCAAAATAAAACCTGACATATAAAATCAATAATAGATGAAACATTGTGTCTAGGATTTCAAATCTTCATTAAAAAAAACCTCTTCCTTGGTGTCAGTAATAGACAATATTTGACACTTATCAGATAATACTTTCATATGTATTGCACATAACGCTCTAAAAGACAATTTATGAGGATGCACAATTGTACATGGTGCTGCCCTGCAGTTTTTTGGGCTTTTGCGCCCACAATATGCAGATGATCCTCATGAGTAGATGTGTGGATTATGTACATATATAACCAATTACGCAGGCACTTACGAGATCAAATTTTTATCAAAACTCGGATTTCCATCCAGCCAAGTTTCCTGAAAACAAAATTGCTAAGCCCCAAGCTTAAGCCCCTCCTCTCCCAACAAGGCCTCCCCCCAACCCGTTACGTAAGGATTGGTAACGCTGATGACAATGACCTGACGGCAAGGAAAAAGTACAAGGAAGCAATAACTAAGATTTGTCTCCTATTTGGAAGGAGGGAGGGAGGGAGGGATTGCCATTCTGTACTATGTCTCATATTCGTGTTACCTGTGCTGGTGCTGTTTATATTTATGCCAATAGTGTACGGAATTAAAATAAAACCACATTTGAACTTATACTATAGCACCACATACAGAGCCAAAATGAATAGATTGGGTCACACCCATTGAGGACAATAGTAAATTCCATTTTCTGAATGGAATTTAAGACAATCTTTGTACCGCCTCCAGCAACAAACTACAAGGACTCTGTGCAACATGCAGCTGTGTCTTCAGTATCATGAAACAGGCTTGAATTGAACTTGTTCTTATCAATGGAGAGTGCATTATTATCCTGAACTATATTCATTGATGACAACCCCTATTAATTCTTTTCAATCATGATTTCCCCATCAAAAGTCTAGTAAAATCCTGTCCCAATAGCTGCCAGCATACCTATAATTTGCACAGTATACAGCATAACTTCCATAAACTCTGTTTTGTGTAGTCATCATACTAACTATAAATAAGTTACTGTATTTGTTTACACTATCCTGAGACTATTAAGAAGCATCTCTGTTCATAATAACAAGATCTGATCTCCTTTCAGGACTACTATTCTGGGCTTTAAAGTCCAATCTTACTACACTAATCCAAAAGCCCGACCAGGGTGTGAACATCGCCGACCCATTAACATGCAAATATTACCACATTGCCAACAAATAAAGCAGAGTTCAGCAAACAAACTCATTGTGTGCAGCAAGTTTTACAAGATCAGAAAAATAACATTTTCAAGTTCAAGAAGAATGGTATTTTGTATAGTACTATTTGTCGTCCCATTACAAACTAGACCCTTAATTCTATTGACAGAGAGTAAAATGCTCTACATGGGCACAGGAGGAAAAAGGGCAGATGCCTGGTTGTGCATAAGAATCCAACAAATCCAAAATTTACTAGATGCGTCTCCATATATGGTGTATATGTATAGAGTTTGCCTGATACGTGCACCAGGCATGTATGAATTTATTCTGGCAACAAATACAAGTCGCATGAGATTTCTGCTTTTGACATCACATTATGTAAGCTTACAAAAGGATTATGAAGCGTGTGCATTCACATTATTTTTTATAATATTTGTAATGGAAAGATCGCCTACCTTCACCGGTAACAAGTTGTCAGAAAGTTTCAATGAACAACACTGGGATGGTTCACTAACTTCAGCCAACTTCCATATCTTAGATTTCTCCATTGACTCGTCAATGATTCTAGGTTTAACATCTCCAAGACTTCGATTGTCACCATTCTGCTGTAAATTTGTAAGCAGTCAGTCATGCTCTTAACAAGAAATTAAGATCAAACTTACAAGTTAGACTGTTAGAGAGAAAAACCCAACCCAACCCAGAAAAATCAACATAGAAGGCATAAATGAGTATTATGTTTATTACCAATCCGACAATAGATCCCATGGGCGCACTTCGATCTGGAAGTGCAGCACTAGATCCAGCCATAGCAGTGACAGTACCCAAGGGTGTGATACCAGGTGTCTGCAATAGAAATTTAATGGTTAAACTCAATGAAAACGAGAAGATATGGAGTACGAATAAATGGAACAGATCTTTTTCTTATTTACAAATAATGTTAGGATGTTCTTGAGCACTACCTTGGTGATCGCCTCAGAATTTGATCTAGAAGCATACCGGCTTTCAACAGTACGAAGCATTTGAAACCCATCAGCATTTGCCAAAATCTTTATACAGTTATCAACCGTTGATACGGCTAAAAGTGAACCAAGTTTGTTGAATCGAATGCGGGGAGAGGCCTGTAGATATTGGAAATTAGAATGCATGAATAAGCTTCTTGAGAGACAATTTACTAACATAATCATAAAAGCAAACCCGATAAAGTAATTACAGGTAATTCGCCCCCTGCATCTGTGGTTGTCAAGAGGTTAATATTGTCCATGTCCCAGAATTTGACCATAAACTCATCTCCAGCGGCTAAAAATCGATTTTTTGTAGTGTCAAATTGTACCACACCCAGGGATCTTTTCCGAAAACCAACATATGTTCGTTTTACAGAACCTTCACTCTCATTCCATTCCACAATGTATGAATCCCCATCCTTACTGGTACCGCATGAGAAAAGCCTATACACGAAAAGAAATCTTGTTAAAATTGTTAAACAATGGAAAATAAGATTTCATCTATGTTACGTGGCTACTTCCAATGTAAGTCATACATGTGCCCGACACATATGTGTTACCCGTACCCATACCAAACTCTTTGGACACTTCTTGTATATATGCATACATCAATTTGAGCATGTACTCGATTATACAATACATGTTTTAATTTAAAACAATTGTCATACATTTTTGAACATATATCCTACACTTCACATCCACTTCTTGAAACTCATTGGACATAGGTCAGGTTCCTAATTATGATTTTGAAGGGTCGTTTGGTTGTCTAGTTCAAAAACTAGTGATTTCCAATTTATAATCCACATGATAAAAGAAACATAAAATGTTATAGAAACTTTAATTGTCATCCTTGTTCTCGTATAAATTATTACTTTCTAGATATAATATATGTGTATAGAAATATTTATATAGCCGTGTCCTCATACCCTTCCTTTTACAAATTTATCGTGTCCCGTACCCATACCCATACCGGTGCCCGTACCCGTCCCTATGCAACAAAGCTTTTAATAGTTTAGTACATGGAATTATAGAATAAAGATATGTGATCCTTCATATGTATACCTTGCTCCGTCAGCACTATAAGCCATAGTAGTACACCAAGGACCTGGTGCTGTATAATCAACCCTTGAACCCCCATTGTCATACAGCCATGCTTTTATCTTCCCATCAAGCGAAGTTGAAAAGATAAACTGAAACATAAAGTGAGGAGATTTACTGCATCTTATAACGATCTATGGATATTTCAAAAGTAATCATTACTGGAAGAAATGAAACTAAGAAAATGAAAGGGATGCATGCTTACTAGTTATTACAAGAATAATTAATATAATGTCTGAATGAGATGATACCTGAATATTTTCCTTTGAGTGTGGGCATATGGAGTACACAGGCGCCTCATGACCTTCAAAAGTATACTGAACCACACCAGTAATGGCATCCCAAACCTGAAAAGAAACACAGTTGTTAAGAATAAGCACTAAGCTTCATTATCTTGTCAAAAAAAACATTACTTACCTTAATAAGCTTATCATCTCCACAGGTTACAACACAGAACTTGTTGTTTGGTTGAGAGAAAGCAATGTCATTTACTCCACCAGCATGAGCATCAATCTGAAAACCATGCCAGTTTCAAGATAAAAGCAGTCAGCATCCAAGATGTTGAGTAGATTACTACACCCAAAAGAATAGTATGGAAGCAACTAATTATCACAGGGAAACATAATTAATGGCTAAATTGCAGAAAAATGCCCTATAATTTCACCAACCTTGCAAATAAGTGACCTCTATTTCAAAACCGAGCAAATAAATACCCCAATGTTTTCATATCCTGCAGATAAATACCCCAAAGTTTTAAAACCATGCAATTAAATATCCCAAAATTTTTAAGATGTTGCAAATTGATGCCCACCACTAGTTAGCCGCTAGAATATTCTTGGAATATACCTATCTAAGCTGACACATGATATTTTACTACAGTTTTATACCCCTAAAGTTCATCCAAATTACAATAAAACCATCCCTCACCTATATTAACTATTTTCTTCTTTTAAATGGGGAAGGGACGTTTTTTCCTTTACAAAAAAAAATTTAACAGCAGCCATGTTTTTTAATGGGGGAAACATTAGGGCATCTACTTGCTCAGTTTTAAAATAGGGGTCACTTATTTGCAAGGTTGATGAAACTATATAGAGCACTTTTCTGCAATTTAGCCCATAATTAATTGATGAATGTTACCTCTAAATGGTGAACAAGGTCATCACGGCCATTGTAGTTATACAAATGCACAAGATGCTTGGAGTATGCAACGCCTGCAAGTTATACAGAGTAAAACAAAAAGAATCGTCAGGCACCACTACTATTTTCCAGTTTGGCATTGCTGATTGCTATCAAACTACCTCTACATAACTAGTTAGTTAATAAAATAGAAGATTTCTTGTTGCAATTACCAAATTGACTCCCATCAGGATTCCATAGTACACGGTTAACGGATACAGCAGGATCCTTAACAAGAGCAGACTGCTTGACATAAAATCCAGAGGTAAGGAGGTCAGTACAAGAAAAGGCCAAGCATAATGCAAAAATGAATCGCTGTGAAAAACTTACCTGAAGAGATGTTGAACATGCTGGAAGTTCCCAAACTTTAAAAGATCTATGGGCAAGCCTCTCTCTGCAAGATACCTCCCATACAGCAATATCACCAACATTTGTGCCAACTACAAAGGCAAAGTAATCTCAATCAAAATCTAAATAGAACTAAGGAGGTAAGCCAGTCAGTATAGAAACCTTATTTTCTAACCTAGAAGAACGGTGGGCTGAGAAGGGTGAAAATCCATGCTCATGACAGAAGAACCCTGATTTAGAACCACAGCGACATTTTTTGGAAGTTCCTCTGTAGAGTATGGGTTCCTTGCCATATTTTGGTACCCTACAGGCATATGAGCAACAGACATTCCGACCTGCAAAGAAATTCGAGCGGCAAGAACATCAGGTTCTCCGCACCAGTTTCTTTATTTTTACCCCCTTTTTGGGTGTGTGTTTGTGCGAACAGGCCACAGCCTACCATGAACAGGAGCAAACTCAATTCAAGAGGATTTACCAACTTACCAAACTTAAAATGGACATACGAATTGGAATATCCGATCAAATGATGACTTCCAAGCCTCAAGACATATAAAGGAGGAAAAACATGGAAAACGACAGATCTAAGTTGAGAAGGTCTAAGAAAGTACCTCGTCGGATATACCCATAGGGCGTGGTCTTTTAAGCACATGTTCAGAATCTGCCGAATGATAATCCGCAGCAGGATTGCTATTTGGCGGAGTTATAGGACGTTTCAAGAGAGCAGCTACATCATGAATAAAAAGTAATAAATAATAGACAAAGAAAATCTAACCTAGAGTGTGCATCAGCATCCTTCCACAGAAGAGAAGACGGCATGCTTAGTGCATAAGTACAACAGAATCGAAGGACATGGGATGGATGTCTACATGACCAGAAAAAATAAATAACCAAAAGCATAAAAAATCTACATCTCCATATAAATATGGAGGAAAAGGTAGATATTACAGAAATCTAGATTCAGATGAGTAAAGAGACTACCTGACATGATTGATGAAAGCATTTAGACATTTAAACAGGTGTCAAGTAAATTCATTTAGTGTGTGTTAGTATTCATTAAGACAAAGGACATGTGACCTAAAAAAAAGCTTATTGAATAGCATTTATACATGACCATACTAGATAAATAGCTTAAAGGATCACAACCTTTGCATGAAAGTAAACCTTGAAAATAATTCAAAATAGGTCGAAGTGGATTAGCATTCTATTATATTATAACTCAAACGTCCAAAGACTATTGCACAGTCTCTCAAATGATTCATTATTATAGCTCCCATAGAAAAATATAAGATGTTCATCAATAAACTATACATTTATCTTTTGTTTTTGTCAAGATAAAGTTACATGAGACTCTGGCCATATCAGCGAAAGTGGACAACCACATGAAGTTATCCTCGAGTCAAGTTAACAGGAGCTTATATGTCAAAAGTAAACCACTACACAAAGTCATCCTAAAGTCAGGTCAACAGAAGCTTATATTGCATACTATTTGATATAAGCAAGAGACTAAAAATGAAGATCTAATATATTTTGTTCTCTTCCTGATCCACTTGTTAATATGTGACTAGTATTTGGATACTCTCATGTCTGATCCAGATCGGAATTTTTCTGTTACAAGGATGGTATAAGTAAAAACTACAACATAAATAAATGTGTTTAGATTTATTTGACAAATTTAGCCATGTTTTTTTGGAGTTCCGGAATACTTTACTACTATTACATTCACAGTCTGATCCTTTTTGTACAGACAAGGGCATCAAAATCAGAAACAACCTATATTTCTTCTTTCCCCGCTCAAGCATAAATCTAAGATGCATTTCTAAGAAAGACAATGTCTGCACAAGAGCTGGTTCATATTAATTACACATGAAGGACAGCAATACTCATCAACTATGAGTTGACTTCAATAACTGGAACAATATCAACGTGGATACATGCGGATATCGACACCACACTGCACAGCAAAGACCATGCTGTGATCAGAGGTGCAGATATTGTTTCGTTCCCATGTTGAATGCTTTTATTTTGATTTATTTTCATTCACTTAAAAATAGTCGGGTCTAAATAAGTAAAAATCTCTGTCGTACAAAAAAAAGTTTGGGATAAAGAGGAAGTTATATCATTGGTCAACCCACAACTCCTAAATTTGAGTTCACTAGAAGTTTCCAATTTCATAATATTATAATTTAGCCGACACCTAATGATTGTGATTATCTACCGGCTCATTTATACATGCCTATGACACAGAATGTAGTGTTCAGAAATGATCTACGAGTGTTGCGAAGAAAAAGTGTCTCTACGAGATGAGACTTTCTAATCAGAAAAGACAAAAACAAAAAGGAAAAAACAGCCCCTTTAAACATTACCAGTATTGGGAGGAACAGCTAATCCGAGTGGTGCACCAGAGACCGCACCAGAGGCTGCTGGATGGGGCATGGGAGCAGCATTGGATGAATTAGCTATCCAGCCAGCAAGGCTGTTTGGTATAGGAGCTGCTGCTGGCTGAAATGGCTGCACAAAATACATGAAAAACATCAGGCTTGCAGAAAAGATAGACCCTGAGGCGCCCCACGATCATATTGAAAACAAGTCCAATTACCCCATGAGGTCCCAGTGGAGGAAAACCTCCTGGTTTTGCCATCACGTTCATCATGGGAGGAGCAGGGGAAGGAACCCTGCCACCATTTTGTTGAGAACAGGAATGGTCAAAGAATAGGGTCTTAATGTCCGGGTTCGGCCTTGGATTCTTGCAAAGCTGATGTTGCCAATTCAAACTGCCATGAAAAGTCAGTAAACAACAGAAATATTCCAAATTCAATTTCAAGCCCGTGCGAGGTTACGGGTTTGGTACCAAAAGTGTATAGTTACATACGTGTATACCTTTGATTGATGAGAGTTCGCAATCTCGAGTTCTTAAGACCAGGAAACTGCAATTTCTCCCGAAACAATGGGTTTGCCTCAATTAACTTCTTGAGCTCAGTAAGCATAACACCTCTGGCAGACTTAGTATCTCCATACTTAGAAAGCTGCTCATTTTCCCTGAAACAGAAAACAAAATTAAGGCCTTTGCTTCATTAAGATCAACAATCTATCGTTATAAACCCTAATTCCAACAATTCAACCAAAATACCTAAAATTCTCCAAAGTAAGCAACTGCGTAATCTCCTTGAACAAATCCTCGTTAAACGTCGAGAACACTTTCAAGTCCTTCACAAGAATCTCCACGGCCTTGGACCGATCACGCCTAAAGTCAACAAAAAACATCAATCAATTCGAACCTAGACCCTAAGTGCCTAAAAAAAACCCCCAAAAAAGAGAAAATTTCCAAGCCACAAACTTGTCTAGGGCTTCGAGATACTTCTGCTTCCGGATCTCGAAGAAAATCTTCATCGAGTACCGATTATCATCAACCTTGGTGAATCCCGACAGATACTTTTCCACCTCATCCCATTCTCCGCCGAGCACCGACTCCTCAAAGTGCTTCATGTTGAAGAAAAACCCCGATTCTTGCTCCAACCTTTCGAAAAACCAAATCCAACAACTTAGGGAGAGAAACACGATTCTAGAGAGATAAAATCTAGGGTTTGGAATTTCTTACTTGTGGACCGTCTCCTTGAACTTCTCCTCCTCCAAAAACTGGAGTATGAGGAACACGAGCTCTCTGCTGAGGGACGACATGGCGGCGATCTCCCGCCGTGGTCGCCGGAACTCGGATCGGTCGGTAGCGTACCGGATCTAGCCGAAATTTATCGGATTCGGATCCGATGACGAGGCGAAACGACGAACGAAGGAGGAAAAAAGGGGATGAGAGCGAGAGAGAGAAGAGGAAGAAAGAAGAGGGTTTGGGGGGAGCGGGGACTACTTTATATATAAGTCGATCTGCTGATACAGACACCCCGATAAGCTATCGCTGTGATCTGCTGAATGACTTATATAACTCCACATTTGTCCTTATCAAGGATAGCGTCGATTTGACGGACAGTTTTAATGATCCCAGAAACAGGAAAGCTCCGCCCTCAATTACACCCAACAGTGGGTCCCACCCACACCCTCACTTCGACGGTGTCCCTTTATTAGTCCCCGATTCGGGTGCACGCTGGGAATTTACTAGTTACAGGACTGGGGGAATAAAAAGGCTGCCTTTCTTGGCTTTCTCGAAGCTTGAAACGCGATATTTTGAAAAGGACGCCGAGAAATTAACGAGGAAAGCGACAGCGGGGACGCGGTAATAAGGTAGGACACAGATTTGATACATTCAATACCGAATTAATTCAGATCTACTCGTTGTTATCCAATAATGCGCATTAATGGAGTGCGAAATTATCCCAAATCTGGGAGAGTAATTATCGATCGGAAGGGTACTTTCATTGGGGGTGATGAGCGAGGAACACGTAGGCGCTGGGTTTGTACTAGGGCTGACGTCATTATAAAATCGACGGTGGATTTGATGCCTCGTATAGAAACTTTTGTGCGTGGCTTTTCGTCTCCTTTTTATGCGGGTTGTCGGGTTTGGATGAGGGATGTACGGGCGGTGTCAGTTGAGAAAGGATAGGGAGATGGTTGGACCTGCTTGCTACCTGCCCACAAATTTTAAGCATTAAGAAATAAATGAATATGTTCCAATTTTGGAACAATACAAAATCTTGAAAAATTAACTAATTAAAAAAAGTATCTTACCAAGAAAGAGTCTTGTTGCCGTTTTCTACATCAATATCAGACACGTGCTATATAGTGGACCTTTTTCTTTTTCTTTTTTTCTTTAAAAAAATAATAGAGTGATTGTTGCTTGCCAAAATATGATTTAAGACCCGTTATATTTTCGTAATTAGTTAATTGACTCCACATCCATGCAGGGTGGATCTGGGATTACCATCTAGATTGGCCACTAATTACCAATATAACTTTCACGATTGAAATATTCATTCTATAGAAAGCTTGCACTGAGAAAATATATGAAACCAAAGGTTCTATAATCAAAATAGAAATTTCAAAGTTTTAAAAAAAAGTCAAATATTGACTTGTTTTCTACACTTGAAATAGTTGGTTGATCTCCTTTAATTAGGTCTAACATAGATCGTCAAAAACACACACATTTTCGATGTGTGTGATCACAGATTGATACGTGATTTATTCATGTTCCATTATATTAAACAACTTTTTTCTCCTTTTGTTCGACCCCTTTGCAATTTAGACCCAGGTAAATAGCATCAAGTGTTACGAATACCAAATAATTAAAAATTGGGGATAGAAGTGTCATATGTACAAATCAATCCTTAGCCTTTTGAACTAATGCCCTAAGCCCCAATCACTAAGCCACTTTGCGAGGGGGTTGGGCAACCTATTTTTTCTTGAGCTGGTATTAATAATAACTTAACCAATATGTATATTACTACTTAAGGTGTACTAAAATGTAAGCAGAAGAGATTTTCGGTGAGCCAGTGAGGCACAATTTCAAACATAAGTTTGTATGTAAAACAGAAATTTTCAAAGTTGAGAGTGCCCAACCTCAACTCTATGCAGGTGTTTGACCTCAACTCTATGTGAATCCGTTCATCTCTACATATTGAAGAGAGACTCCAACTTGGTGGTCCTTAAATCTTTAGAATCTTAAAAAGATTGATCGCATGGTAGAGTCTCTATATACCCATGTTTAAAACTTACTATCTCTCTGGTTTTGATTTTTCAGATTGAACTCCGAGGGAAATTTTTCTTTGCTCTTTTGCAACCGGAAAATAGGTTTAAAAAATAAAGGGAAAAGTGTGATAATGGAAACACAACAGATTTTTTAATGTTTGCAACCGAAAATTAAAAAAAGAAAAGAAAAAGAAAAGGCACAATCATATTGACTAGGGCTCACAAGTCAAATGAAAAGATCAACAATGGCATGGGATTCTTAGAAACCCATTTCATAGTTTTTCTTTTCCTGATATGGATTGAAAACCCGAGTAGGGACCCACAAGGGTTTTGATTTCCTTTCCATAAATCAATATTTTCACTTTCTAGGAAACCAACTAACAAATTTTGAAATGGTTGTCCGTAGGCAATCATTAGATGGGAGAGATAGAAAGAAATGAATAGTAATTAGATCCCTCCTGATTTACACTAAATTTTCTGCTTGTCTCTCTTCACTCTACCTGCACCCATGGGCACTTGTTAGAAAAACCCGTCAACTAGACATCATCTTAGTGAAAAATAATATGGTTTTTCAACAAATAGATCCCCAGAGAGTAAAAAAGTCAAAAGAATTAAGCTAGAGGTTTTGTCAGCAAGTAAATTCTAAAGGGTAGTCGGTTCAAAATAACGACACTACACGTAGGGGTGGGTATGGGCCGGACTGGTTCAGGCCCTTGACCCGGCCCGTTGGTTTCAAAGCGAGGTCAGGCCTGACCAGGGCCTAGCCATGTTAGCATGGGTTAGACCTATTTTTCTGATCATGGGTCTGAGAGTAGATCTAACCTGGCCTATAACCAGCCTGGGTGCGAGCCGGGTCTGACACAGGCCGTGGGCCGACCCATGAGTATTTCGTCCAACTTTTTTTACTTTTTTTTATTTTTTCATTATATTAAACTTGTACTTACAATTATAAAATTATTTTTTAATTTATTTTTTAGTAATTCAAACTTGTATTAATTTTTTTAAAACTTGTATTAAATGTTTTATTCCTTTCAAGTAGACAACATTGAGCTTAAAGATCACTACCTTGTTTCTCAATAGGCCAAAAGGCTCACGAGCGAAAGACTTATGAAATTTTGGATTTGTTGGCAGTAAGTTGTAGATCCAAAAGACTAAATGAACAATTAGCCTAACCAGAAAATATATCGTAGGTCGGGACGAGTTGGGCCGGGCTGTGTTGGGCATGGACCGAGCCTACTTCTTTAACCCTGGGTCTGGGGTTGGACCCGTCCTCGGCTGGTCATGACCCATGACAGGCTAGATCTCAGCCCGCGAGTTGACTCTGCTCATGGTCACCCCTAACTACACGGGACTATCCGTAACCAACCCAATCAATTTTGTATGGCATTCGGGGAGTTTCGCGGCCATTCACAAAGCTTTACCTCAAAACTAATAATTTGATCATAAATTTGAGGATTTAATTAGCAAGCATGTGAGGTCTGCTTTTGATGATCTGCATCAGTGTGCTATAGTTCGATTAATATTACAGTACTAGAAAATATTTGTTTTAGTTGTTTCACTTCCAATAGTTTGACATATTGCATTGAATAAGAATCATTTCAGAACTATCCCTATATGAATAGTTTGGTTTGTATCATATATAGAAGAGATCAAATTCTCAAACTAACTCTCTAACCAACCGTGAATGATATAAATTAAGGGTGGCAAACTGGTTGACCTAGCTCTATCCCACCCATATAAATTTTGATTTGACTATATAATATTGACCCAACCTGACCCGTCAAATAACTAGGTTAATCCATTTGTTAAATGAGTTACCCACTAACTCAAGTGACCCATTTAATTGTTTTATAATTTTCATGTACTTAACAAAGAGCCCATGGTCAAAGTTTTTATGGTCCTATTTGTCATTTATAGGTTTTGTATTGTTTAGAAGTTAAGATATTTTCAAGGTGTTTTTTATAAAATTTTGAGGTTGTTTTTAATAAATTAAAAAAGTTCTATTATGTTTTCTGCAAATATTATTTTCTCAGTGGACTTTTTATACTTTATAAACTTTATACTCTTTGTAAGTTTTAAAATTTCAAAATTTTAGGATTTTTTATATTTTTTGAAGCTTTTAGGGTGTTTTCAGCAAGTACTAAAATTTTTGTGTTGTTGTTTTGGTGTATTTTTGTAAAAGTTAACCTTTTTAGTGTGCATTTTGTAATTTTAAAACTTTTAAGGTATCTTCTGTAAATTATAAAAATTCAATGTCACTATTTATAAGTTATAGATTTTGTACTATTTATAAGTTTTGATATTTATGTGATGTGTTTCTGTGAAATTTATTTTTTTGAGGTTTTACTTTATAATTTTGAAACTTTTAGGGTGTTTTTGTAAATCTTAAAAATTTTAATAACTTATAGATTTTATATTGTTTGTAAATTTTATTGTTTTCGGGGAGTGTTTCTCTAAACGTCTAACTTTTTGAAGATGTATTTTGCAATTTTCTAAACTTAGGGTGTTTTTTGCAATTTTCAATATCTTTCATGGTGTTGCTTATAACATAAAGACTTTTAACTTTTTGTAGGTTTTGATATTTCTGGGGCATGTTTCTATAAAAGTTTGACTTTTAAGCGTGTATTTTACAATTTTTGAAATGTTTAGTGTGTTTTTTTACAAAGCTCAAAACTTTCAGCAGATTTTTGTAATTTATAAATTATAAAATTATCACTATTTTTAAGTTTTAGCTTTTCCAATTTTTAAAATTTTAACTTATTTTGGGTGTCTTTCTGCAAGTTTTGAAACTATCAGGTTGTTTACTGCAAATTTCAAAACTTTCATGGTCCTATCTATAAGTTATAGATTGTGTAGGGTTTGTAGATTTGGATTTTCTAGGGTGTGTTTTTGTAAAATTTGGCTTACTTGGGGTGTTTTTAACAACTTTTGAAACTATCATGATGTTTTCTGTAAATTTCAAAATTTTCATGATGCTGTTTTTTGTAAATTTTCATGGGTGTGTTTTCATAAATTTGACTTCTAGAGGTTGTACTTTGCAATTTTTTGAACTTTTAGGGTTTTTTTTAAATTTTAAAAATTTCATGGTCTTGTTTATAGTTTATAGATTTTGTATTGCTTTGTAAGTGTTGATATTTTTATGGTTTTTGGTAAAGTTTGAACATTTGAGGATGTTTTTTTAATTTTCAAACCTCTAACGAT